CTAAGGTTGTTGTATGTAGTAGTGTAGATTACAGGTATAAAGGACAATTTAACAATGAGCCTAAGGTTGTTGTATGTAGTAGTGTAGATTACAGGTATAAAGGACAAGTTTAACAATGTGTCTAAGGTTGTTGTATGTAGTAGTGTAGATTACAGGTATAAAGGACAAGTTTAACAATGTGTCTAAGGTTGTTGTATGTAGTAGTGTAGATTACAGGTATAAAGGACAAGTTTAACAATGTGTGTAAGGTTGTTGTATGTAGTAGTGTAGATTACAGGTATAAAGGACAAGTTTAACAATGTGTGTAAGGTTGTTGTATGTAGTAGTGTAGATTACAGGTATAAAGGACAAGTTTAACAATGTGTGTAAGGTTGTTGTATGTAGTAGTGTAGATTACAGGTATAAAGGACAAGTTTAACAATGTGTGTAAGGTTGTTGTATGTAGTAGTGTAGATTACAGGTATAAAGGACAAGTTTAACAATGTGTGTAAGGTTGTTGTATGTAGTAGTGTAGATTACAGGTATAAAGGACAAGTTTAACAATGTGTGTAAGGTTGTTGTATGTAGTAGTGTAGATTACAGGTATAAAGGACAAGTTTAACAATGTGTGTAAGGTTGTTGTATGTAGTAGTGTAGATTACAGGTATAAAGGACAAGTTTAACAATGTGTGTAAGGTTGTTGTAACAATGTGTGTAGATTACAGGTATAAAGGACAAGTTTAACAATGTGTGTAAGGTTGTTGTATGTAGTAGTGTAGATTACAGGTATAAAGGACAAGTTTAACAATGAGTCTCAGGAATAAAGGACAAGTTTAACAATGTGTCTCAGGTATAAAGGACAAGTTTAACAATGTGTGTAAGGTTGTTGTATGTAGTAGTGTAGATTACAGGTATAAAGGACAAGTTTAACAATGTGTGTAAGGTTGTTGTATGTAGTAGTGTAGATTACAGGTATAAAGGACAAGTTTAACAATGTGTGTAAGGTTGTTGTATGTAGTAGTGTAGATTACAGGTATAAAGGACAAGTTTAACAATGTGTGTAAGGTTGTTGTATGTAGTAGTGTAGATTACAGGTATAAAGGACAAGTTTAACAATGTGTGTAAGGTTGTTGTATGTAGTAGTGTAGATTACAGGTATAAAGGACAAGTTTAACAATGTGTGTAAGGTTGTTGTATGTAGTAGTGTAGATTACAGGTATAAAGGACAAGTTTAACAATGTGTGTAAGGTTGTTGTATGTAGTAGTGTAGATTACAGGTATAAAGGACAAGTTTAACAATGTGTCTAAGGTTGTTGTATGTAGTAGTGTAGATTACAGGTATAAAGGACAAGTTTAACAATGTGTCTAAGGTTGTTGTATGTAGTAGTGTAGATTACAGGTATAAAGGACAAGTTTAACAATGTGTGTAAGGTTGTTGTATGTAGTAGTGTAGATTACAGGTATAAAGGACAAGTTTAACAATGTGTGTAAGGTTGTTGTATGTAGTAGTGTAGATTACAGGTATAAAGGACAAGTTTAACAATGTGTGTAAGGTTGTTGTATGTAGTAGAGTAGGACACAGGTATAAAGGACAAGTTTAACAATGTTGTTATATATAAATTGTTCTGATTAACAAAATCTTACAATCAATAACAATAACTGAGAGAATTAGTTTATTTTTGATAATCAAAGACTTATGAATTGTGATAAATATCTAGCGATGCTGATGAATTTGGTGAGTTACATATAGCAACATAAACGTCATCAGTTTTATAACACAGTCGGAATCTCTTGCTGTGATAACAACACTTTCATCTTGTATCTGTTTGAGCCTAATTCACACATGGTTAAGGTAAATAATCGTCTGTACAGCCTCGATGATATTGATTTATGGGTACTATCAACGTGCACGGCTTTTTGTTGTTTAAGCTCCTTACCCACCATGATCAGATGGTGTGGTTAACATTATTCCTCAGATAGCACTAAACACTACACTACCAGTTTCCCAGGGTTTTGGTATCCAACATCTCTTTTTTTTCTTAAATATGAGGAAAATATAAATCCATATGCTGTAAATATATATCACCAGGGAATCTTAAATTAGCAGTGTTGATGCTGAGAGCATTGCACTAAAATCTGATTTCACTAATTGTGATTTTTTTATGCAAATCATTAGTATAGTAATTAGTGTGTATGATCAGTATATCATGCTAATTTACCAAAAGGTCATAATGTGCTGAAATGTTCAGCTAGTGTAGAACTTCAGGGTCTGATCATTGTAAGACTGGCTTAAGGGTTTCAGCTAGTGTAGAACTTCAGGGTCTGATCATTGTAAGACTGGCTTAAGGGTTTCAGCTAGTGTAGAACTTCAGGGTCTGATCATTGTAAGACTGGCTTAAGGGTTTCAGCTAGTGTAGAACTTCAGGGTCTGATCATTGTAAGACTGGCTTAAGGGTTTCAGCTAGTGTAGAACTTCAGGGTCTGATCATCGTAAGACTGGCTTAAGGGTTTCAGCTAGTGTAGAACTTCAGGGTCTGATCATTGTAATACTGGCTTAAGGGTTTCAGCTAGTGTAAAACTTCAGGGTCTGATCATTGTAATACTGGCTTAAGGGTTTCAGCTAGTGTAAAACTTCAGGGTCTGATCATTGTAATACTGGCTTAAGGGTTTCAGCTAGTGTAGAACTTCAGGGTCTGATCATTGTAATACTGGCTTAAAGGTTTCAGCTAGTGTAAAACTTCAGGGTCTGATCATTGTAATACTGGCTTAAGGGTTTCAGCTAGTGTAGAAATTCAGGGTCTGATCATTGTAAGCCTGGCTTACATGTTAAGCTAGTGTAGAACTTCAGGGTCTAATCATTGTAATACTGGCCTGAAGAATTGACTTGTCATCATTGTAAGACTGCACTCAGTGTCTTGTCAGTGTAGGACAGTGTAAGGTTACTCAGTGTCTTGTCAGTGTGGGACAGTGTAAGGTTACTCAGTGTCTTGTCATTGTGGGACAGTGTAAGGTTACTCAGTGTCTTGTCAGTGTGGGACAGTGTAAGGTTACTCAGTGTCTTGTCAGTGTGGGACAGTGTAAGGTTACTCAGTGTCTTGTCAGTGTGGGACAGTGTAAGGTTACTCAGTGTCTTGTCAGTGTGGGACACTCTAATGTTACTCAGTGTCTTGTCAGTGTGGGACAGTGTAAGGTTACTCAGTGTCTTGTCAGTGTGGGACAGTGTAAGGTTACTCAGTGTCTTGTCAGTGTGGGACACTCTAATGTTACTCAGTGTCTTGTCAGTGTGGGACAGTGTAAGGTTACTCAGTGTCTTGTCAGTGTAGGACAGTGTAAGGTTATTAGGAACTATCTTCCCTGATCTCACCTTTTTACTTCCATTGTCTGCTTTGTGTAGCTGCCAATATACTACACAGTGTAGCCTGCTTAATTCATTGATTGAATGACAACATATAATTATATTTTGTTTTAATTGTATTTTTTTGATAAAACGTTTTACCCTTGTTTTGATTTTGTGATAATTTCAGTTTAATTATAGATAGTTAACAAATTAATATCATAACTATCATGTCTTCTTCCACTGTCTTAGTCACAACAGACCCAGGTATGTCACTAGGTAGTCACTACTAATCCTGAACTTCCACTATCTCAGTCACAACAGACCCAGGTATGTCACTAGGTAGTCACCACTAATCCTGTACTTCCACTATCTTAGTCACAACAGACCCAGGTATGTCACTAGGTAGTCACCACTAATCCTGTACTTCCACTATCTTAGTCACAACAGACCCAGGTATGTCACCACTAATCCTGTACTTCCACTATCTTAGTCACAACAGACCCAGGTATGTCACTAGGTAGTCACCACTAATCCTATGCTACCATTATCTTAGTCACAACAGACCTTGGTATGTCACAAAGTAGTCACCACTAATCCTGTTCTTCCACTATCTTAGTCACAGCAGACCCAGGTGTAACCCTGGTAAAATACTAGCCGCAATATACCACTCGGCTAGAGAGAACTTCTCTTTAGCTCGATTGGTTGAGCGTCAGACTAGTAAGCCAGGGGTCCCGGGTTCGATTCCTAGCGGAGGCATTGAGATAAAAAATGACCTCTGTTACATTGGCGCCCATGTAGGGACCCGGGATTACTACTTAGCCATGCCCCATCGGCATCGCTGTAACCCCTGGAAACTCGAGGACGAGTTATTTCCTGGAGGGGGAGTATGTAACCCTGGTAAAATACTAGCCGCAATATACCACTCGGCTAGAGAGAACTTCTCTTTAGCTCGATTGGTTGAGCGTCAGACTAGTAAGCCAGGGGTCCCGGGTTCGATTCCTAGCGGAGGCATTGAGATGAAAAATGACCTCTGTTACACAGGTGTGTCACTAACTAGCCACCACTCATCCTGGTCCCCAAGTTACAGGAACCACAAATATAGGTTTGGCACTCTACAGTCACAACTTACTCAGATCTGCCACTATATAGTAATAACTGTTCCTAGACTGCCACTATACAGTCACCACTAACCCTGGACTGCCACTATACAGTCACCACTGACTCTGGACTCCCACTATAGTCACCACTGACCCACCAGTACACATCACCACTAATACAGATCTCTCACTAACTAGTCACCACTGACCCAGGTCTGTCACTATAATCATCACTTACCTTGGTCTGTCACTATAGTCACCACTTACCTTGGTCTGTCACTATAGTCACCACTTACCTTGGTCTGTCACTATAGTCACCACTTACCTGGGTCTGTCACTTTAGTCACCACTTACCTTGGTCTGTCACTATAGTCACCACTTACCTTGGTCTGTCACTATAGTCACCACTTACCTTGGTCCCTTTACAGCCATCACAAACCCAGGTATTTTTCTATTCTGCTAGCTGTTCTGTAAAGGTTGATAAATTAAGAATATGATGATGATATGATATGAATTAGGGATGTTTTTTGTTTTCTTTTTCTCATTAAGGATCGACACATTAACGATTGTTCTGTTTTCACCAACAGGTAGACCAACCTCGGGCATTGCTGAAGACTTACACCTCACACAGTTCATAGGAGGCCTGATTTGTGGACCAGTATCTAGTGGGCTCGTCTTTCCTTTTATAAATATTTACTATGCAGCTGGATCTTAAGAGAGTATAAATGGTTATAAAGATAATCCATGTGTGATATTTCTGTAAATGATACCTTGTGTTTACTGTGTAAATGACGTGGGACCACGCTTGTGTGACTGTATTGAGGTATTCTATATGCCTGATGTGGTTATCTTGTAAAATCATCCATGGTAACATTTCTTAATTATTTGCTTTTAATTGTAATGATCAATAATTAATACATTTTCCTTTTTTACTGTGGCATTTTCAACCTATAAAAGAGATTTACGATGTTTTATTTCTGCATATCACAGAAGCTGTTTTTTTAAGAGGTGTGTTTTACTGAAATCTGCCAAGACGCTCAATACATCAGTTGTAATGGAAAGTAATGGGTGATCTATTATTTTCCACCCTCATAATGACCCTGGCTGTTGTGGAGAAGTTAAACACCACACAACAAAGTGTTGACAGGAGCTAAACATTAGACAGGTGTCAGTTACACATAGAATTTACTCACAATAAGAAAATTATTGGAGTCAACTCACAATAAGTCACGTATTGGAGTCAACTGATGATAAGATAAATATTGAGGTTAAGTCCATATTTTATATTTATATTTTATATTATTTCTGTCCTAAGTAACAATGTCAGACACGTGGGCATATGTCGTCATTTTCTTATGAAATGTGAAGTATATTTTTGTTTCTCTACACACAACAGTTTATAGCATATCATGACCCAGTCTAAAATTTTAAATACTTTCAAACTTGGAATGGAAATGTCATTTATTGATGATCACAAGATAATAAGGTATTACCAAAATAACACAAGTGTTACTATGTATATCTTAACTGTATATTATCTGTATTTATTGTACACAATGTTTCCTGGAGACTGTTCTACTGATACCAGTTCTGTATCTTCCTGTTTATCAATTTGTTACATTGCTACACTGTTATTGATCTAGCCTGTACATGTTTTGATTTATTCCACTGCTTATGTTCAATGACTATGATTTATCGTATGTTTAATTCACAGTACATACACTGGTGACATTATATAAAATGCTGTCATACACAGGCTGGTGACATCGTATGATGTACTGATTTCAAGGTCATACACAGGTTGGTGACATCGTATGATGTACTGATTTCAAGGTCATACACAGGCTGGTGACATCGTATGATGTACTGATTTCAAGGTCATACACAGGCTAGTGACATTGTATGATGTACTGATTTCAAGGTCATACACAGGCTTGTGACATTTTTTAAACATATTTGTCCTGCAATAAATCCAGGTGCCAACACATAAATCTTACTAGTAAATATTGTTGGTTCTGCTGAATTTCCACATATATGTGGATGGGCTTATTATCAAACATGGACTTGTCAGGCAGTCTGGTGTATTTCATGAGCAGCTGATCAAATCATGTTTTGTTTTTACAATCACTCGATGTATTGCTGCTGCTGATCTCAATTGTCTATTAACATTAAAACCAAAAACATTATTGAAAAATGTGCAACTGGTTATCAACAGTCTATCTAGTTGTTTATCATATTTCCAAAGAATCTGCTTTTTTTTAAATATTGCACCACATAATGTATTTATTATATTAACCGAACCCCCCAAACTCCTGCTCATTAGAGATTTTTTCTTTGTATGACTTACCATGTGTAAAATGAATCTCCACAATACACAAACATGTACTTCCAAAGAAATACAATCCTCAGTGCAATCACAAAATGAACATAATTTTGTACAAAAATGTTCAGAGCAAGCCGACAGGATCCCTCTCTTTGAAGAATTTCATTCTCCTGTGGCATTTATTAGAATAAGAATGGTATTTTCTTTTTTGTTGTTTTGTTTTCATTCTCTTTTTTTTGCCTGGATATTTATTATGATGTGAATCTCATTCTGATTCAGCTTGTGTGTTGAAATATGAGTTAGATAAGATCACAAGGAGAATAAGCCCTCCATTTTGTTCAGTCACAAATGAAGAAACTGTCTTGAGGTGCTGACTCAGAAAAGAATCTGAGCCAACTTAACTGATCAAAATATGACAATATAAAACTTCATACAGTAAAACTACCACCTTCAACATCTTAACTTATATAAAGTGTTTGTTAAGCTCAAATCTGAAAAAATGACTCTGTGGACTTGGTGACTTGGTAAGCTTGAGTCCTGTTCACTGGTACAATACCTAATGACAACTACATGTTTGGGTGCTTTCATAGTAATGTATTCCTCCGTGTGTGAAATTGTCTATTTTCTTCAATTTATTCCCCAAGATATATCCAAAACTATATTTCATGTTATCAAATTCTTACCCTTGTAAAGCAGACTGACTGAGGGACTGTAACTTAGTAAGTTTTTCACAGGAAAACTGGGTGAAATTTAGCAATCTAACTATTTATATTATCTGACAGTATAATTAGGATTCATAACAACAAGTTATCAATAGATACTGGTACTAACATGTCGTACCTGCTTTTTCTTCTTTATATATCTTTGTACTTGATGATATTGTAAGCTGTTGTGATCACGTCCCAGATGGATGGGAGAAACACCAGTACATCGTATTTCTGGAGTGTGATGGTAGTAAAATATGGCTGCTTTAGTGATTCATTTATTGTAAAATTCAGTATAGCTCAGACAGTATTGCACTTACAGTTGTGTATTCTATATTATTGACAGTATTGCAGAACCTGTTTATCACTCTCATGGTTTTAGAGTTGTCAAACCGAACTGTACAGACAATTTTAAGTTATTCAGTATGAGAACTACGTTGATGGCTTTGATTGGTCAGTTTATGTTTAGGATTTGGTAGTTTGTACAGATGTATATTAATATGTATGTTTACTATTTTAATCAGAACATTCAAACGGTTAAATTTGTTTGTTATGAAGGCAATCACATACCTAAATATCAAGTTAGCTCACAAAAGTTATCTATTTTTATTAATGATGAAGCCAGTTTTATTAATGATGAATCCAGTGAGAAATTTTGCTTGGTAAGAAATATATTTTAAGGGATATATATTTAGTTTGTAGATCTAAATTGTGTGCAAATGTAAACAGTGTGTAATCATGTTGTTCTACTTCCCCTTGTTTTACCAGTGTTAAGCCCATAGGCATTCAATATCCATACCTCTTATCAAACAATACAAGTCACATCTGGTTATGACAACATCTATATACAGCTGTAGGTAATATCTAGATACAACTTCTGTATACAACAGTAGGTCATATCTTGATACAACCTATGTATACAACAGTAGGTCATAGCTAGATACGACAACTTATGTATACAACAGTAGGTCATATCTAGATACAACTTATGTATACAACAGTAGGTCATATCTAGATACAACTTATGTATACAACAGTAGGCCATAGCTAGATATGACAATTTCTGTATACAACAGTAGGTCATAGCTAGATACAACTTATGTATACAACAGTAGGCCATAGCTAGATATGACAATTTCTGTATACAACAGTAGGTCATATCTAGATACAACTTATGTATACAACAGTAGGTCATATCTAGATACAACTTATGTATACAACAGTAGGCCATAGCTAGATATGACAATTTCTGTATACAGTTGTGATCTTGTAGTTGGATATATGACCCTTATACAACACGGTTTGTATAATAGAAATTTCATACCGTATAGATAGAACTGTTGGGGTGAAAGGAAATTTAGGACACTGAGGCTTAACAAAGGTAAAATTCATGTGGGATAGAAGCAGTTTTCCAGTGATGGGACAGTGTGTGTACATAGCCTTTTTTGTGATTTTCCAGTGTAAATAACAAATGTGGAGTGACCTTTTACATCGAATTGGAAGGTGTTGTGTTATTGATGTTTGCTATTTTTACCTCATTTCTAACAAATGAATGCTACCAGAAATTTTAATCAAATGTACAGCAGCAACATAATTTTGATGCTACATTGTAAATTATAATTTTATTTCCAGTGACTATACTGTTTTCTATGGCAAATACTGTGGTTGAACTAGTTTGATTGTAACATAACCATGACCTGTTGAAACCAGTGTATGAAAGGTCTTCTTTATTACTGAAATGCTGCTACTGTATTTTAAATGGTGTGAGAGGATCCAAGGGAAACTTCACCTTACCTAATGATGCTTTTATGTAAAAGCTTGATGATTTTATCCACTTCATCACACAATATTGTAGACACAGTAATGTTTTAATGGTATCATAACGAGGGATAGGTTACTGTAGATTTAGTCCTGTATTGAGGGATTGTAATTCATTGACAATTTTAGATGGTAAATTAAAATTGCAGTGACTTATATTTGTGTTGTTTCCTCTTTTCACCTCACAAATTTATGAAGTTCATACATTTTCATATGAACCATCTAACAAGAACATTCCGGGAAATAGATATAAAAAACTTATACTGTCAAAATCAACCTCAAAATTGAATGTGCAAAACAAGGGAAAGAGGGGAACCTACAAATTGTAATAACTTTCACAATCCAAGATGGTTGCATGTCAACCAGTTCATTTTTAGCTGACCTGACTGGTGGAAGGGAGACAAATTTTGAATAAATAGTACATCTCAATCCCCAGAGGCATGAGGGGCAGGGCCAAAAGGATAAATTTTATAATCCTACTCCTGTAGAAATGATTGGATTTTGCCCAAATTTTGCATTATTAGGTGAAGGGGAGTCAATTTTGTATAAGTGGTGGGTCTTGGCCTCCTGGGGCAGGAGGGACAGGGCCCAATAGGGGAAATAGAGCAATTTCTTTAAAATACTACTCCTCCTTTAAGAAGCTTATAAATCAATTTTGTATTTTAAACAGTGGGTCTCATCCCCCTGGGATGGCAAAGGCAGAGCCTAATATAGGAAAATTCTACTTTCTACTCCTGCTTTAAGAATGATTGGATTTTTCAAAGATTTAGCCTGAAGCATTGTTGGATGAAGGGGAATCAGTTGTATATATATGGTGGGTCTTAGTCCTCTGGAATGGGAGGGGCAGTGCCCAATATTGGAAATGGAGCAAATTCTTTAAAATCCTAATCCTCCAGTTTACATGTAGGAATGATTGGATTTTCCCCAAATGTAGTCTGAGGCATTGTTTGGTGAAGGAAAATCCAACGAGAAACAGCAATAACACACTTTCAATGTCAAAGTTAAAGAGGGCTGCCTGTCAGCCATTTTGTCTTCTAATCAGCCTGAAATCAAAAGGGCAAAACTAGGGACCCAAAGGAACCTTAGGAGATTTCCAAAAGTTCTATCCAGTACTCCTCATGAAACATCGATATCGAGAATTGTCTATGGAAGGATAGATGAAGAATCACCTATGTAGGGCAATTTAAATAGCCCACCTGATGATGGTGGGCTTACAATCCACAATGGCTGCTTATCAGCCATTTCCTTTTCCTTATCACTCCAAAAATCAAAACGTCACAACTAGGGACCAAGGGAAATCTTATGAAATTTGCAAAAGGTCTATCCAGTACTTCTCAAGAAATAAGAATAACAAGATTTGTTCATCGATTGATGGATGGATGGATGAAGGACCACCGATTTTGGGTATCTAAAACAGCCCATCTAATGATTGTTGGCTTATAATCCACAATGGCTACCTATCATCCATTTTCTTTTCCTTGTCAGTCCAAAATCTAAAGGATACAACTAGGGACAAACAGCAACCTTCATGTGAAATTTGACAAAAATCAAACTGATACTGCCGAAGAAATTTCAAAATCCAAGGTGGTCGCCTGTCAAGCTAGTTTGCTTTTCTAATCAGTCTCAAAATCTAAACTACAGACAAAGGGGAACCTGCATAAAAAATCAAGAAAGATCAACCCAGTATTTACCAAGAAATACTCTAGTGATAATAATTGTTCATTGTCAAAATAAATCCAATATGGTCGCCTGTAAGCCATTTTGTTATTTGATCAGTCCCAAATCAATTGGGCATAATTAGGGATCAAGGGGGAACTACATTGTACATAAGAAATTGGAAGCTCTTTAGACTTAGCAACAGCAAATTTTCATTGTTAAAGTCTGAAATTGCTGTCTGTTGACCAATATTGAACAGAGAGTGGAACCTTCACATCAGCTTTAAGAAATATCCTTTCAGTATTTCTTAAGAAATAGCAATAAAAAATCTTTCAAACTGTCAAAATCCAAGATGGCTGCCTGTCAGACACTTTGTTAACCTGATCAAACTCATAATTTACTGGGCACAACTAATGATCAAATGGAACCTGCTCATGAAGTTTGAAAACTATCCTTTAATTACTTTGAATTCTCAAAAAATAGCAATAAGAAAAATCAACTGTCAAAATCAAAGATGGCCGTCTGCCAGCCATTCTGTTTTTCTAATCAGACTCAAAATCAAAAAGCCACAACTATGAAGCAAGGGGATCCTTTTTGACTACATTTTTTTTTTTTTAGAAATTTGTGGTTTCTATTTCAAAGCATTTTGTATTTAAGTAAAAAAATCTTCTACTCAGAACTTTCCATCAAATGCTGGACCATACAGGTTTGTTAATAGTGTTAAATACAATCTTTGTCACTCAGCTGACGGAGCATGCTCCTTTGGTCAGTTGGTAGAGCCGGTTGATAACGACACTGGAGACCCGAGTTAGATTCCTGGCCGGGGCACTCAACAGGAAGTTGTACTTTCCCTGTTCTGTTATATGCGACTTGTGCCAATTATATTTGATGATTATGAAATGTTATAAACGTTCCATTGGTTGGTACTTGACGAAATCCACTCCTCGACAATGTAGGAGTCCATTATCGTTCTACCTACTGCAGCAGACGTCAGTTGAACGATTCTGGATGTCATGTGTCTGTGTTCATATCTGCCAGTATCAGTGACGTCACGCACTGTCTAGCACACATTGTAAGTGTAGACTCGTATGTTTACGCTGTTCTTTCTCTGCGTGGTGGATACATCGAAATGACGATCGTGATGTTGGCATAAATCGTGATCGATCACAATGCCAGAGCTTACCTTCAAACAGACGTATGAAATGCGAAGAAATTATGTGGGGTGAGTAGTCGGTACAGATTCTAGCCTAATTGGTTTCGAGGTTCTAGCTTCATTAGGTTGTGAGCAATTATGATTTTATATGACGTGATTTCAGCTGTCAGTTTCTCGATACGGTTGTAGGTGCCACAGACGTGGCATACGCGAAAGGCCTTCGTGTGTTGGTCTTCCGCCGCATCATACCGCGGTCACTTACACAGTACTTCCGTTTCCCGTTTTATGTAACGTTATTGCTTACAAAACAACCAGCACAAGCTTCTGTGAGGCTGGATGTATTCTCCGACCAGGGAACTCGTCTTCTAGTTTAACTTGACTTCATGAAACATAGACTATTGATTTCGGAGGAGGGAGTATTGAAGACATGAAAACTATTCCGAATAAATCTAATCAGTTTTTGGACTCGCTGGCCATTCAAAGGTAAGGCGGTTGGACCAGAGACGTACATGTTTATATTGGTTGGACTTTTTGTAATTTTGCCCAAGAATTAGAGATTACATTATTTTACACTATCTAGATAATATCATCATTCTGAATATCTTTATCTGTACTTTATGGCGATATTTGTTCATTCACTGACAGATTAATAACATCAACAGCTGAACAAGACTTACGTAAAAAAAAAAACTCAGTCTATTAATAGACGAACTCGCCACCAATCAGTGAACAAAGCCATAGAGCTAGTATTATAAGAATACAGATAAAAGCTCACCACATGAATGAAAACAGAAATAGTCAGATAAATAAATCCTTATTAGACCACACATTGAGTATGCAGTAAGTGCATGGTGCCATCTAGAGTTGCAGATATAAAATGGATTGAGAAGGTACAGAGGAGGGCTACCAGGGACGTCCCTGGGGCTACCAAGCTAATCCCAAGACTTAAGAATTTATCATAGGAAGAACACTTTAGGGGATTAGATCTCCCAACACTTCAACATCGCAGAATCAGAGGAGATATCATAAATAATTTTAAAATAGTAAAACATATTTATGATTATAGAGTAACAGAAAACTTTTTCTAGATGGACACTTCAAGTCGAACAAGGAGTCAATCAGAAAAAATTTTAAAATAAACCTGTAACCTGGATATAAAAAATAATTTCTTTAGTCATAGAATAGTAGATATATGGAATAAAATACCGCAACATATCATCGATGCAGATAATGTTTACCATTTTGAAGTATTGCTTGATGAATATTGGAAAAATGTTTGTTTTAATGTCTAATTTTAGTGTTTGGATGATTCTTATTTTTGAACTGTACATAACTATTGTAGTGGAGGATGTAAATTTACTTATTGTATATATATATTGTTGATATGGATATAGAGGCTTTCAGTCTGCGTCCATAAATATTCCTAATAAATTATGACTAGATGTTTCTAGTTCAAGTCCCAGCAGGGGCAGAACATGCTTTCCACTCTTTCTAATGATATATTATATATACTCTAATTTCCTTTTTTAAATCAGATGGATCTTTATCCTGGGTAGATAGACATTCCTCAAACAGATCACTATTTCATTCCTTTTTACTGGACTAAACATGTATTAGTAATTGTGCCAGTAGGTTTAGTTCCTGTTTTTGTTGGTGTCCATGCTGAAGTCCATACAGTGGATTTTACTTACCTTTACCTTAACACTTCACAAAAAAATATTTTCACTTCCTTTATACTATATTCCTTTCCTACTGAATACATCATCACAATGACTTCACTAAACTGACATTTTTTGGTGATCACTAATTCATCAGATTTTGTTTGTATGTTTTACTGTGTTTAATTGAATGCAAGCCTGAATTAAAGACTCCATGACTTCTGGGATAACTAGCCTTGATTGGAGGCTCGAGTTAGGTGGAGATAAAAGACAGATGGTTACAAAGCAGAGTTCAAAATGTATATGAATTATTCTTTTCCTTTTTTTCAAAGGAGGACATGTAAGCTACATTTTGAAGCTGCTCCCCTGAAGATAGTTAGAGCATCACGTCAGTATATGTATGATGACTCTGGAGCAGAATACCTCGACTGCATCAGTATTGTATCACATGGTATGAATTGATTGATTCTGGTAACAGATTTACTGTATTACATTGTATGATCTTGTTAACAGATTACCTGTATTACATTGTAGGATCTTGTTAACAGATTAACTGTATTACATTGTATGATCTTGTTAACAGATTAACTGTATTACATTGTATGATCTTGTTAACAGATTAACTGTATTACATTGTATGATCTTGTTAACAGATTAACTGTATTACATTGTATGATCTTGTTAACAGATTAACTGTATTACATTGTATGATCTTGTTAACAGATTAACTGTATTACATTGTATGATCTTGTTAACAGATTAACTATATTACATTGTATGATCTTGTTAACAGATTAACTGTACTACATTGTATGATCTTGTTAACAGATTTACTGTATTACATTGTATGATCTTGTTAACAGATTACCTATATTACATTGTATGACTTTGTTAACAGATTAACTGTATTACATTGTATGACTTTGTTAACAGATTAACTGTATTACATTGTATGACTTTGTTAACAGATTAACTGTATTACATTGTATGATCTTGTTAACAGATTAACTGTATTACATTGTATGACTTTGTTAACAGATTAACTGTATTACATTGTATGATCTTGTTAACAGATTAACTGTATTACATTGTATGATCTTGTTAACAGATTAACTGTATTACATTGTATGATCTTGTTAACAGATTCACTGTATTACATTGTATGATCTTGTTAACAGATTAACTGTATTACATTGTATGATCTTGTTAACAGATTTACTGTATAACATTGTATGATCTTGTTAACAGATTAACTGTACTACATTGTATGATCTTGTTAACAGATTAACTGTATTACATTGTATGATCTTGTTAACAGATTAACTGTATTACATTGTATGACTTTGTTAACAGATTAACTGTATTACATTGTATGATCTTGTTAACAGATTCACTGTATTACATTGTATGATCTTGTTAACAGATTAACTGTATTACATTGTATGATCTTGTTAACAGATTAACTGTATTACATTGTATGATCTTGTTAACAGATTAACTGTATTACATTGTATGATCTTGTTAACAGATTACTGTATTACATTGTATGACTTTGTTAACAGATTAACTGTATTACATTGTATGATCTTGTTAACAGATTAACTGTATTACATTGTATGATCTTGTTAACAGATTAACTGTATTACATTGTATGATCTTGTTAACAGATTATTACATTGTATGACTTTGTTAACAGATTAACTGTATTACATTGTATGATCTTGTTAACAGATTAACTGTATTACATTGTATGATCTTGTTAACAGATTAACTGTATTACATTGTATGATCTTGTTAACAGATTAACTGTATTACATTGTATGACTTTGTTAACAGATTAACTGTATTACATTGTATGATCTTGTTAACAGATTAACAGATTAACTGTATTACATTGTATGATCTTGTTAACAGATTCACTGTATTACATTGTATGACTTTGTTAACAGATTAACTGTATTACATTGTATGATCTTGTTAACAGATTAACTGTATTACATTGTATGATCTTGTTAACAGATTAACTGTATTACATTGTATGACTTTGTTAACAGATTAACTGTATTACATTGTATGATCTTGTTAACAGATTTACTGTATTACATTGTATATCTTGTTACATTGTATGATCTTGTTAACAGATTAACTGTATTACATTGTATGATCTTGTTAACAGATTACTGTATTACATTGTATATTACATTGTATGATGATCTTGTTAACAGATTAACTGTATTACATTGTATGATCTTGTTAACAGATTACTGTATTACATATATTACATTGTATGACTTTGTTAACAGATTAACTGTATTACATTGTATGATCTTGTTAACAGATTACCTATATTACATTGTATGACTTTGTTAACAGATTAACTGTATTACATTGTATGATCTTGTTAACAGATTAACTATATTACATTGTATGATCTTGTTAACAGATTAACTGTATTACATTGTATGATCTTGTTAACAGATTAACTGTATTACATTGTATGATCTTGTTAACAGATTACCTATATTACATTGTATGATCTTGTTAACAGATTAACTGTATTACATTGTATGATCTTGTTAACAGATTAACTGTATTACATTGTATGATCTTGTTAACAGATTAACTGTATTACATTGTATGATCTTGTTAACAGATTACCTATATTACATTGTATGACTTTGTTAACAGATTTACTGTATTACATTGTATGATCTTTGTTAACAGATTAACTATATTACATTGTAGGATCTCATACTATCATTTTGATCTAAAATATATCTTGAAGCAAACCTATCTGATTAATAACAGATGTTTAGTTAAAGTAACAGCAAACTAGTGACATGTATCTTTAACACTATTCACAATCTGGTGATATTAAGTATGTCTTTTGATCATAATATTCTAAGTGACTCTCTAGATATATATTAACTCCTGGCTGAATTAATTGTGGCTGTTCACATTTCTAGTGGGTCACTGTCACCCCCATGTGGTCCATGCTGGACAGGAACAGATGGCCCGAATGACTACAAGTGCTGGATTCCTCAATGAAACCATGGTGGAATATGCCAAGCGAATAGTGGAGACATTGCCTGACAAATTATGTGTCTGTTTCCTTGTTAATTCTGGGTAAGTTATGCATTAAAGTGACTTTAGTTCATTGGACTAAAGGAATGTCTGGTAAAGATCAGAGGTGTGTAGTTTGATCCCTACCTGGGATGGTCTGTGTTCCTCAGGTAAAGATCAGAGGTGTGTAGTTTGATCCCTACCTGGGATGGTCTGTGTTCCTCAGGTAAAGATCAGAGGTGTGTGGTTTGATCCCTACCTGTGATGGTCTGTGTTTCTCAGGTAAAGATCAGAGGTGTGTAGTTTGATCCCTGCCTGGGATGGTCTGTGTTTCTCAGGTAAAGATCAGAGGTGTTTAGTTTGATCCCTACCTGGGATGGTCTGTGTTTCTCAGGTAAAGATCAGAGGTGTGTAGTTTGATCCCTGCCTGGGATGGTCTGTGTTTCTCAGGTAAAGATCAGAGGTGTTTAGTTTGATCCCTACCTGGGATGGTCTGTGTTCCTCAGGTAAAGATCAGAGGTGTTTAGTTTGATCCCTACCTGGGATGGTCTGTGTTTCTCAGGTAAAGATCAGAGGTGTGTAGTTTGATCCCTGCCTGGGATGGTCTGTGTTTCTCAGGTAAAGATCAGAGGTGTTTAGTTTGATCCCTACCTGGGATGGTCTGTGTTCCTCAGGTAAAGATCAGAGGTGTTTAGTTTGATCCCTACCTGGGATGGTCTGTGTTTCTCAGGTAAAGATCAGAGGTGTGTAGTTTGATCCCTGCCTGGGATGGTCTGTGTTTCTCAGGTAAAGATCAGAGGTGTTTAGTTTGATCCCTACCTGGGATGGTCTGTGTTCCTCAGGTAAAGATCAGAGGTGTGTAGTTTTATCCCTACCTGGGATGGTCTGTGTTTCTCAGGTAAAGATCAGAGGTGTGTAGTTTGATCCCTGCCTGGGATGGTCCGTGTTTCTCAGGTAAAGATCAGAGGTGTTTAGTTTGATCCCTACCTGGGATGGTCTGTGTTCCTCAGGTAAAGATCAGAGGTGTGTAGTTTTATCCCTACCTGGGATGGTCTGTGTTTCTCAGGTAAAGATCAGAGGTGTGTAGTTTGATCCCTGCCTGGGATGGTCCGTGTTTCTCAGGTAAAGATCAGAGGTGTTTAGTTTGATCCCTGCCTGGGATGGTCTGTGTTTCTCAGGTAAAGATCAGAGGTATGTAGTTTGATAGACTGTGTTCGTGGGAACTGGTGAGATTTCACCAAAGTTCAACAAGACAATAATAAGAGAGTGAAGCAGATATTATTAAGTCTAAGTAGTGATACCTGTTATCTTCGTGGTCTTTTTATGATTTCCTGTATTAATCAATATGGAACCAACTTTGCGAGCTTATATTTTGTTTTCAGATCTGAAGCAAATGACTTAGCTCTGCGACTGGCACGGAATTACACAAAGCATTCAGATGTAATGGTAGTGGAAAAGTAAGTCACTTGTATATGTATAACAGTAATATAACAGTTGTAGACTTGTGTTTTAGAAGTGGAATATAAACAGATTCACACTCAAGTGAGGACGAAACCATTTATTGAAATTGCAATTCATAATTCTGTTGATAAATAAGAGATGGAGATATTAATAATCTTCCATCCATTATCTGCCTTAGGATTTTGTACATAGGTATGAGACAGGAATATTGATAATCGTCTGTAATCTGATGCCAAGTTCTATATATAAATGGATGACAGGGATATTGATAATCTACTATACACCATGTATGATGATTTGTTAATATGATAGGTATTTCCCTATGATTTTTCTTATAGTGCCTACCATGGAAACATTGCCAGCCTGTTAGAAATCAGTCCAAAGAAATGGCAACAGATGGGAATACAACAAAAAGATTGGGTCCATGTGGTAAATATATATCATTTTTGTGCATGTAGTGTATATATATACACAGTATTATAGGTTGAAGCTAAAACATGATTTTAGCTAAGTGTACTTTATAATAGTATACAATACAAAAACATGGCTTCAAAGCATTACCAAAACTTGAAAATGTTGGAGAAATGTTTTTTATATTGCTATATATCAACAGGTGCCCTGTCCTGATACCTACAGAGGTATATTCAAGGAGGATTCTGAAAACCCTGGATTACTTTACGCCAATGAAATTAAGAAGATGATCAGAAAATGTAAAGATAAAAACCGAACTGTAAGTATAACTTACTTGTATTATATTTACTTCCAAATTTTGGCTGGTGAAGTGATCAAAGTGTAAAAGCCATTAGGCCTTAAAAATCGCCTTAAAATCTACACAAGTTTATGTATGACGTGGGAATAGATAATTGTTCATTGAGCCTCTTTTCTTCCTGAATGCTTAATTGTTATTGTGTAGGATAGAGTAATATGGTATTGAAATAAAAATTTAATTTAATTGATCCATTAACACCTAGAAAAGTTTTCCCTTCCTGAAATTGTGAATCTTTGATTTGTAACAGATTTCAGCTTTCATTTCCGAGCCATTGATGACGGTGTGCGGCGTGATTGTTCCACCACAAAATTACTTAAAAAACGTGTACAGGTATGCTTTAACATTGTATTACCTCAATCACATGTACAGGTATGCTTTTACATTGTATTACCTCAATCACATGTACAGGTATGCTTTAACAATGTATTACCTCAATTACATGTACAGGTATGCTTTTACATTGTATTACCTCAATCACATGTACAGGTATGCTTTTACATTGTATTACCTCAATTACATGTACAGGTATGCTTTTACATTGTATTACCTCAATCACATGTACAGGTATGCTTTAACAATGTATTACCTCAATTACATGTACAGGTATGCTTTTACATTGTATTACCTCAATCACATGTACAGGTATGCTTTTACATTGTATTACCTCAATCACATGTACAGGTATGCTTTTACATTGCATTACCTCAATTACATGTACAGGTATGCTTTTACATTGTATTACCTCAATCACATGTATAGGTATGCTTTTACATTGTATTACCTCAATCACATGTACAGGTATGCTTTTACATTGTATTACCTCAATCACATGTACAGGTATGCTTTAACAATGTATTACCTCAATTACATGTACAGGTATGCTTTTACATTGTATTACCTCAATTACATGTACAGGTATGCTTTTACATTGTATTACCTCAATCACATGTACAGGTATAACTTCTATCACAACATCATCAGATTGTGTTCTTTTAAAATCACCCTGTTTCTATTGTCCATCTGTTATCCATCCTTTATCAATTCTTAATGTGGATTTTTTAGTCATTCTCAAATTTGATATGTAGATTACTCTTGGTCCCTAATTGTGCATATTCCATTTTTGGACTGATAGCTGACATGTGGATATCTCGTATTGAAACCGCCATATTTTGTTTTTGTCATTATTTCATTGCCCCTCAAAAATTTTAGGGGGAGCATATATTCACGGCTAGTTTTGTCCAGAGCATTACTTTGCCCATAGTTAAGCAAGGATCATGAATTGGTGTAGACATTGGTCGTACAAAGACAATGTGCAGTGTACCAAATTCAGGGCAAACAACCCTTCACTTACTGAGTTGCGGCCCTTTGTTAAAATTTTTGTGTCCAGAGCGCAACTTTGCTTGCCATTAAACTAAATTAATGAAACCAGGTGTATCCATTGGTTATACTATGACAATGTTCAGTATACCAGATTCAGGGCCCATGAGCCCTCATTTACAAAGTTATTGCCCTTTGTTATACTTCATGTCCAGTAAAGTTGTTTCACTGATTGTCGGAGAAGTACTTGATGGATCAAATTTCATATATATGTTTCTGTTGGTCCCTTGTTTTGTGCATAGTTCAAATTTGGACAATCAAAATAACAAAATGGCTGACAAGCAATCAACTTGGAATTTGTTATACTATTTCCTGAGAAGAACTGGATGGATCTTCCTCAAATTTCACCTGAATGTTCTCCATGTTTCTATTGTTTGCTCTTGTGAATTCATGACTGATCACAAAACAAATGGCTGACAGGTGACCATCTTGAATTTTGACAGTGAAAGTTTCTATTGCTATTTCTAATGAAATACTGGATCAATCTTCCTCAAATTTCATGTGTAGGTTTTGTTTTGAGGATGATAACAAAAGTGAAATGGGTCACAGATGACTGTCTTTCATTCACCATTGAAAGGTTTTCATTACATTTTGCTTGAGAGAATTTCTCAAATTTCATTTATGAAGAGCAAATAAGAGGAAAGAAGGGAAACAATCTTACTTTTAAAGAAAAAAATGAAGATCAAACAGAGGTGGATGCCTGTGTGCCACTAATGGTTCAAGCATACCTTTCCATCACTCTGACTTTCATCAACACAATTCATTCTCTGAGGATGATATAATGTAACCACAAAGCTCCATTCATCATTGCTATCAATGGATTTCATCTGAAGATCTTTGTTTGATATCAACGTGGAATGTTTAAGTTCATCTATTTAGAAAGTGTTGTTATGATAAGAAATTAAACAATTTTATCAAAGAAAGTAAGCAAGGGCACTTACATAGATAACTCACACCTTAGGATCAATGACCACCAAAACCTGATCAGATTCAGACCTTGTTGTTATGATGGTGTGATAATGAGCCAAACTTTGTTCAGGGATTAATGAGGTATACACAAGAGATGCTCAGACACACAAGTATCATAACAAGGTCATAAAAGTGGTATTACAATCATCCATTATAAAACAAATGGTAAAAGTGTTGATGCACCTGATGATAACTTTTATTGATCTGAATGACAGTAGGTCAACATTACAACACTATCTACCTGAATAATAATGTATTAATGGCTGTATTCCAATACAACCCACAGCCTGACATACTGACTAACGGATGTCACAACCCACAGCCTGACATACTTACTGACTAACGGATGTCACAACCCACAGCCTGACATACTTACTAACGGGTGTTACAACCCACAGCCTGACATACTGACTAACGGATGTCACAACCCACAGCCTGACATACTTACTAACGGGTGTCACAACCCACAGCCTGACATACTGACTAACGGGTGTCACAACCCACAGCCTGACATACTGACTAACGGGTGTCCCAACCCACAGCCTGACATACTGACTAACGGATGTCACAACCCACAGCCTGACATACTTACTGACTAACGGATGTCACAACCCACAGCCTGACATACTTACTGAGTAACAGATGTTACAACCCACAGCCTGACATACTTGCTGACTTACGGATGTCACAACCCACAGCCTGACATACTTACAAACGGATGTCACAACCCACAGCCTGACATACTTACTAACTAACGGGTGTCACAACCCACAGCCTGACATACTTACTGACTAACGGATGTCACAACCCACAGCCTGACATACTTACTAATGGGTGTCACTACCCACAGCCTGACATACTTACTAATGGGTGTCACTACCCACAGCCTGACATACTTACTGACTAACGGATGTCACAACCCACAGCCTGACATACTTACTGACTAACGGATGTCGCAACCCACAGCCTGACATACTTACTGACTAACGGATGTCACAACCCACAGCCTGACATATTTACTGACTAATGGGTGTCACAACCCATAGCCTGACATATTTACTGACTAACGGGTGTCACAACCCACAGCCTGACATACTTACTGACTAACGGATGACACAACCCACAGCCTGGCATACTGACTAACGGATGTCACAACCCACAGCCTGACATACTTACTGACTAACGGGTGTCACAACCCACAGCCTGACATACTTGCTGACTAACGGATGTCACAACCCACAGCCTGACATACTTACTGACTAACGGATGTCACAACCCACAGCCTGACATATTTACTGACTAACGGGTGTCACAACCCACAGCCTGACATACTTACTGACTAACGGATGACACAACCCACAGCCTGGCATACTGACTAACGGATGTCACAACCCACAGCCTGACATACTTACTGACTAACGGGTGTCACAACCCACAGCCTGACATACTTGCTGACTAACGGATGTCACAACCCACAGCCTGACATACTTACTGACTAACGGATGTCACAACCCACAGCCTGACATATTTACTGACTAACGGGTGTCACAACCCACAGCCTGACATACTTACTGACAAACGGATGTCACAACCCACAGCCTGGCATACTGACTAACAGATGTCACAACCCACAGCCTGACATACTTACTGACTAACAGGTGTCACAACCCACAGCCTGACATACTTGCTGACGAACGGATGTCGCAACCCACAGCCTGACATACTTACTGTAACGGATGTCACAACCCACAGCCTGACATACTTGCTGACTAACGGATGTCACAACCCACAGCCTGACATACTTACTGACTAACGGATGTCACAACCCACAGCCTGACATATTTACTGACTAACGGGTGTCACAACCCACAGCCTGACATACTTACTGACTAACGGATGTCACAACCCACAGCCTGGCATACTGACTAACGGATGTCACAACCCACAGCCTGACATACTTACTGACTAACGGGTGTCACAACCCACAGCCTGACATACTTGCTGACTAACGGATGTCACAACCCACAGCCTGACATACTTACTGACTAACGGATGTCACAACCCACAGCCTGACATACTGACTAACAGATGTCACAACCCACAGCCTGACATACTTACTAACTAACGGGTGTCACAACCCACAGCCTGACATACTTACTGACTAACGGATGTCACAACCCACAGCCTGACATACTTACTAATGGGTGTCACTACCCACAGCCTGACATACTTACTAATGGGTGTCACTACCCACAGCCTGACATACTTACTGACTAACGGATGTCACAACCCACAGCCTGACATACTTACTGACTAACGGATGTCACAACCCACAGCCTGACATACTTACTGACTAACGGATGTCACAACCCACAGCCTGACATATTTACTGACTAACGGGTGTCACAACCCATAGCCTGACATATTTACTGACTAACGGGTGTCACAACCCACAGCCTGACATACTTACTGACTAACGGATGACACAACCCACAGCCTGGCATACTGACTAACGGATGTCACAACCCACAGCCTGACATACTTACTGACTAACGGGTGTCACAACCCACAGCCTGACATACTTGCTGACTAACGGATGTCACAACCCACAGCCTGACATACTTACTGACTAACGGATGTCACAACCCACAGCCTGACATATTTACTGACTAACGGGTGTCACAACCCACAGCCTGACATACTTACTGACTAACGGATGACACAACCCACAGCCTGGCATACTGACTAACGGATGTCACAACCCTCAGCCTGACATACTTACTGACTAACGGGTGTCACAACCCACAGCCTGACATACTTGCTGACTAACGGATGTCACAACCCACAGCCTGACATACTTACTGACTAACGGATGTCACAACCCACAGCCTGACATATTTACTGACTAACGGGTGTCACAACCCACAGCCTGACATACTTACTGACTAACGGATGTCACAACCCACAGCCTGGCATACTGACTAACGGATGTCACAACCCACAGCCTGACATACTTACAGACTAACAGGTGTCACAACCCACAGCCTGACATACTTGCTGACTAACGGATGTCGCAACCCACAGCCTGACATACTTACTGTAACGGATGTCACAACCCACAGCCTGACATACTTACTGACTAACGGATGTCACAACCCACAGCCTGACATACTTACTGACTAACGGATGTCACAACCCACAGCCTGACATATTTACTGACTAACGGGTGTCACAACCCACAGCCTGACATACTTACTGACTAACGGATGTCACAACCCACAGCCTGGCATACTGACTAACGGATGTCACAACCCACAGCCTGACATACTTACTGACTAACGGGTGTCACAACCCACAGCCTGACATACTTGCTGACTAACGGATGTCACAACCCACAGCCTGACATACTTACTGACTAACGGATGTCACAACCCACAGCCTGACATACTGACTAACAGATGTCACAACCCACAACCTGACATACTTACTGACTAACGGATGTCACACACAGCCTGACATACTTACTGACTAACGGGTGTCACAACCCACAGCCTGACGTACTTACTGACTAACGGATGTCACAACCCACAGCCTGACGTACTTACTGACTAACGGATGTCACAACCCACAGCCTGACGTACTTACTGACTAACGGATGTCACAACTCACAGCCTGACTTACTTACTGACTAACAGTTTCACAAACCCAGCCTGACATACTGACTAACGGATGTCACAACCCACAGCCTGACATACTTACTGACTAACGGATGTCTTTCAGATACATACATGAAGCAGGGGGTATATGTATTGCTGATGAGGTACAAGTGGGACTTGGGCGTGTTGGAGAACGTTTCTGGTCATTCCAGACACATGGTAAGTTAACAAAGTTACTACTAAAACTTTGATACTTTTATCAATATTTATGTCTGAAATAACCAACAACTTCTATTCCAGTGCACCAACTTCAAATACCTGTAAATGATCCACCTCAGATATCTGTAGATAACCCAGTCACCTCAGCTACCTGTAGATAACCCAGTCACCTCAGATACCTGTAGATAACCCAGTCACCTCAGATACCTGTAGATAACCCAGTCACCCCTGACACCTATAGATAACCCAATTATCTCTGATACCTGTAGATAACCCTGTTACCTCAGATACCTGTAGATAACCCAGTCACCTCCAATACCTGTTAATAACCCAGTCACATCTGATACCTGAAGATAATCCAGTCACCTCAGATTCCTGTAGATAATTAAGTCACTTAAGACACCTGTAAATAACCCAGTCACCTCAGACTCCTGTAGATTATCCAGTCACCTCAGATATCTGTAGATAATCCAGTCACCTCAAGATACCTGTAGATAATCCAGTCACCTCGGATACCTGTAGATAATCCAGTCACCTCGGATACCTGTAGATAATCCTGTCACCTCAGATATCTGTAGATAATCCAGTCACCTCAAGATACCTGTAGATAATCCAGTCACCTCGGATACCTGTAGATAATCCAGTCACCTCGGATACCTGTAGATTATCCAGTCACCTCAGATATCTGTAGATAATCCAGTCACCTCAAGATACCTGTAGATAATCCAGTCACCTCGGATACCTGTAGATAATCCTGTCACCTCAGATACCTGTAGATAACCCAGTCACCTCAGATACCTGTAGATAACCCAGTCACCTCAGATACCTGTAGATAACCCAGTCACCTCAGACACCTGTAGATAACCCAGTCACCTCAGATACCTGTAGATAGCCCAATTACCTCCGATACATGTAGATAACCCAATTATCTCCGATACCTGTAGATAACCCAATTGTCTCCGATACCTGTACATAATCCACCACTTCTGATACCTTGGGTAGTGTTTATATGACTAGTGTGTTTATGTTTTAGATGTGGTGCCTGACATTGTCACTGTGGGTAAACCGTTAGGAAATGGTCATCCGATGGCATTACTGGTGACAACAAAGGAGATTGCAGACACCCTTGGCGAGTTTAGCAGCACGGTAAGAATTCTATCTAAGGTTTCTGGAGTGAACTCTGCACATAAATATATACAAGATTTGCCCAGTTACAAACATGACTAGATTGGATTGTATTATTGTGATAAGTAATCATGAACTAGTGCCATGTCCCAGGCCTCCATGTCAACATCAAACCCATGTCCCAGGCCTCCATGTCAACATCAAACCCATGTCCCAGGCCTCCATGTCAACATCAAACCCATGTCCCAGGCCTCCATGTCAACATCAAACCCAGATTGTTTGTGATTGATGTCGGTTTTTGTATTATCAGTTTGGTGGAAACCCTGTGGCTTGTGCAGTAGGCATGGCAGTGTTGGACGTGATCCGTAATGAGAAACTACAGGCCAGTGCCAAGTCTGTTGGCAAGTGTCTGCTTGATGGATTCAGGGCCATTCAGCCAAAACATCCCATGATGGGTGATATCAGGTTGGTATGGACAAAATGTAACAAATTACTGTGGGTGGTATTATCTTATTCTGGTTGTAAGGGTGGTAGAATGTGAAAGTAGGGATGGGGACAGTGGACAATGCTTTGTAGGGGTGGGGAACATGTTTATAAAGTTTGGAAATGTGATTGTAAGGGTAAAGGGAAGGGAATGTGATTATAATGGTGGGGAATATGATTGTAGGGGTGGGAAATATGATTTTAAAGGTGGGGAATATGATTGTAGGGGTGGGAAATATGATTGTAAAGGTGGGGAATATGATTGTAGGGGTGGGAAATATGATTTTAAAGGTGGGGAATATGATTGTAGGGGTGGAGAATATGATTGTAAGAGTAGGGAATATGATTGCAGATGTGGGGAAAGTGAATGTAGGGGGGGGAATATGATTTCAGGGGAATGTTTAATATGTTGTGATCATTATATGATTGTGAATGAGTACATATGATTTTGATTTTAGGGGTATGGGAATGATCATTGGGATTGATATCGTTTTGGACAAGGAGAGCAGGAAACCTGCAAAACAGGCCGCTGAAATCCTAAGCTACAAGTAAGTGTGCAGTTCCTTTAATCCTTAGAATTTATTACAGTCATTCTGCATTATACTTCAGACATTGATACCGGCAACCCCACTGACCTCCACTTTTCTGACCCCCACTTGGACTGACTTCCACTATGAATGACTTTTACTTGGACTGACCTCCACTTGGACTGACCTTTACTTGGACTGACCTCCACTTGGACTGACCTTTACTTGGACTGACCTCCACTTGGACTGACTTCCACTTGGACTGACTTCCACTTGGACTGACCTCCACTTGGACTGACCTCTACTTGGATTGACCTCCACTTTGACTGACCTTTACTTGGACTGACCTCCACTTGGACTGACCTCCACTTGGACTTACTTCCACTTGGACTGACCTCCACTTGGACTGACTTCCACTTGGACTGACCTCCACTTGGACTGACTTCCACTTGGACTGACTTCCACTTGGACTGACCTCCACTTGGACTGACCTCCACTTGGACTGACCTACAACTAAACTCTCACTGACCAACAGCTATACTGAACTATAGACACCACCAACTGTACTGAATATAGCCTGACCAACATCTGTACAGAACCCTGACCAACATCTGTACTGAACCCTTACCAACATCTGTACTGAACCCTTACCAACATCTGTACTGAACCCTTACCAACATCTGTACTGAACCCTGACCATCATCTGTACTGAACCCTGACCAACATCTGTACTGAACCCTTACCAACATCTGTACTGAACCCTTACCAACACCTGTACTGAACCCTGACCAACATCTGTACTGAACCCTGACCATCATCTGTACTGAACCCTGACCATCATCTGTACTGAACCCTGACCATCATCTGTACTGAACCCTGACCAACATCTGTACTGAACCCTGACCAACATCTGTACTGAACCCTGACCAACATCTGTACTGAACCCTGACCAACATCTGTACTGAACCCTGACCAACATCTGTACTGAACCCTTACCAACATCTGTACTGAACCCTTACCAACATCTGTACTGAACCCTGACCAACATCTGTACTGAACCCTGACCAACATCTGTACTGAACCCTTACCAACATCTGTACTGAACCTTTACCAACATCTGTACTGAACCCTGACCAACACCTGTACTGAACCTTTACCAACATCTGTACTGAACCCTGACCAACATCTGTACTGAACCCTTACCAACATCTGTACTGAACCCTGACCATCATCTGTACTGAACCCTGACCAACATCTGTACTGAACCCTGACCAACACCTGTACTGAACAGTGCTACTAATCTCACACTTGCAAGTCTATTCTCTGATTTTATGAAAAGAATTCTGACTTGTTATTCTATATCCAATACTCATCTCATAGTTGTCAAGGGAATGTGCAGATTTAAAGGCCCTTTGTTGTGATAGTAAAGTCTTCAAGCCTGTTTTAGTGATAAGTCAAGTCTAAAGACCCTTTGTTGTGATAGTAAAGCCTTCAAGCCCTTTTAAGTTAACATTATTGCTGTATTTCAGACTTAAGGAAGGAAAGATCCTCATTGCAAATGATGGTCCAGACAAAAATATCATGATTATTTCTCCGCCCATGTGCTTCACATGCGACAATGCAAGACAAGTTGTGCAGGCTTTTGATGTTGCACTAGCTGCCATTGAACAAAGTGCGTTAGAGGCAGGAGTGACATCATTACCTGATGAACAGAGGATATTAAATATTCCACTGGATATCCTCTCATCAAACCTGGACACAGGACTAGACTCAGACTCTGACAGTGAAGGTTCACAAGCCAAGAAAGCACGTTACGAAGAAATGGACTAAGCAGTGTGTTACAGTTAATACACCTAAGATACGGGTCATTAATTACAGAAGACGAAAGATTTGATATGAAAGAAGGTAAACGAGAAATGTGACTTAATCCTTTCTTTAAGGTTTATAAGGTTGTAAAAGTAGGAGGAACACTGTGTTTGAATGCTTATGAACAAATGTTTGTGTGATGAAGGCAGCTCAAGGGATCTTGGTATTTAATTGAAGGAAAATGTTTAAACATGTTATAACATATGAGAATTCTGTACACTTTAGGGGGACAATGAAGTCAAAGCAATGTCAGTATATAGTGTTTATGTTGTATATTGCTGTAGTAGACTGTATAAACTGGGCTATTGTGATCAATATTTGTTACTAAGTGTTATATATCTCAGCACGTCAAGTCCCATCTTGTCTTTTTCTGAATCAATATTATCCAGGTAACATTACCTGGACATTTGTATCTGATATGTAAGTGTTTATTTCACAGGTCAAGGTTAATATTTGTAGACATTTATCCAACAGTCTGTGATACAATTTTTGTATGGGAGACACTAATGCCTTATAGATTTTATAATCTCTTTGAGACACCATATACCACAATAAAACTGCAATAGAGTTGTGTGTAAATGAACAATTAAATAATTTTGTGGTACTTGTTTTTTATGGAGAATTGTGCTCTGTAAAAATACAATGTGTATATATAAGACAGTGGTCTAAATAACAACATCACAGTGTATAGCAAAATATTAAATGTTCTACGGTACTTTAATGAATACACTATATAGAAAGGACAAAGTTCTGACAATACACAACATAGAAAGGACGAAGTTCTGACAATACACAATATAGAAAGGACAAAGTTCTGACAATACACAATATAGAAAGGACAAAGTTCTGACAATACACAATATAGAGAGGACAAAGTTCTGACAATACACAATATAGAAAGGAGGAAGTTCTGACAATACACAAATTGAAAGGACAAAGTTCTGACAACACACAGTATAGAAAGGACAAAGTTCTGACAATACACAATATAGAAAGGACAAAGTTCTGACAATACACAATATCGAAAGTATGAAGTTCTGACAATACACAACATAGAAAGGACAAAGTTCTGACAATACACAAATTGAAAGGACAAAGTTCTGACAACACACAGTATAGAAAGGACAAAGTTCTGACAATACACAATATAGAAAGGAGGAAGTTCTGACAATACACAATATAGAAAGGACAAAGTTCTGACAATACACAATATAGAAAGGACAAAGTTCTGACAATACACAAATTGAAAGGACAAAGTTCTGACAATACACAATATAGTAAGTATGAAGTTCTGACATTACACAGTATAAACAGAACTTAGTGTAGCCATACAATACAGTGTAGATATGAAAATAACTTTGTTCTACAAAATAGTTAAGGTGTAAATAAATCTTTGTTCTACGAAACAGTATAGTGTATCGATAGGATAAAGTTGTACAATTAAGTATATATAAAGGATGGATTGGTACAAAAATGCATAAATATTATATACATTACAGTGTAAAATAGGACTGATTTTTACAATACAACATATAAATAGGACAGAGTTCTACATTACAGTGTAAAATAGGACTGATTTTTACAATACAACATATAAATAGGACAGAGTTCTATATTACAGTGTAAAATAGGACTGATTTTTACAATACAACATATAAATAGGACAGAGTTCTACATTACAGTGTAAAATAGGACTGATTTTTACAAAACAATGTATAAATAGGACAGAGTTCTACATTACAGTGTAAAATAGGACTGATTTTTACAATACAACGTATAAATAGGACAGAGTTCTACATTACAGTGTAAAATAGGACTGATTTTATCAATACAACATATAAATAGGACAGAGTTCTACATTACAATGTAAAATAGGACTGATTTTTACAATACAACATATAAATAGGACAGAGTTCTACATTACAGTGTAAAATAGGACTGATTTTTACAAAACAATGTATAAATAGGACAGAGTTCTACATTACAGTGTAAAATAGGACTGATTTTTACAAAACAATGTATAAATAGGACAGAGTTCTACATTACAGTGTAAAATAGGACTGATTTTTACAATACAACATATAAATAGGACAGAGTTCTACATTACAGTGTAAAATAGGACTGATTTTTACAATACAACGTATAAATAGGACAGAGTTCTACATTACAGTGTAAAATAGGACTGATTTTTACAATACAACATATAAATAGGACAGAGTTCTACATTACAGTGTACACATTGTATGATAGGACTGAGTTGTACAATATAACACATAAATGTTTTTACTATAATTTTAACATCAGTTTCAACAACCTCGTACTGAATAATGTATCGAATGTAATTCAAGAGTGTAATCTTTATTTAACTTGTATAAATCACATTAAAAGTATTATAAAATGTATTACCATCTTTTACAAAAGGATTCCATTGTGAGAAATTATATCACATTTTATTGATACAGAATAATTTTATGCCTTCATGATGTTTCAAATAAATGTACATTAAATGTACTTTATAGAATTATGTGGTGTTTTTTCAGTTCTACGTGGCTATGGTGGATTGTTAGTTTCAGATAGGAATTTTTATCTGGGGCCATATTACTGAAGATAGTATCATGATAACTTTTCAAGTAGGAACCTTTGTCAGAGGCTATGTTACAGATGTAAGGATTGTGATAGGTGAATTTCAGGAAAGATTTTTGTGCCCCAACGATAAAATAGGAGTTGGTGGAGTGGGGTTGGGGGTTGGCATATAGTGCTGCCCATGTACATCCTATCCCATCCAATTTCATCCCTAAAATGGGAGTTGGTGGAGTGGGGTTGGGGGTTGGCATATAGTGCTGCCCATGTACATCCTATCCCATCCAATTTCATCCCTAAAATGGGAGTTGGTGGAGTGGGGTTGGGGGTTGGCATATAGTGCTGCCCATGTACATCCTATCCCATCCAATTTCATCCCTAAAATGGGAGTTGGTGGAGTGGGGTTGGGGGTTGGCATATAGTGCTGCCCATGTACATCCTATCCCATCCAATTTCATCCCTAAAATGGGAGTTGGTGGAGTGGGGTTGGGGGTTGGCATATAGTGCTGCCCATGTACATCCTATCCCATCCAATTTCATCCCTAAAATGGGAGTTGGTGGAGTGGGGTTGGGGGTTGGCATATAGTGCTGCCCATGTACATCCTATCCCATCCATCATCCCTAAAATGGGAGTTGGTGGAGTGGGGTTAGGGGTTGGCATATAGTGCTGCCCATGTACATCCTATCCCATCCAATTTCATCCCTAAAATGGGAGTTGGTGGAGTGGGGTTAGGGGTTGGCATATAGTGCTGCCCATGTACATCCTATCCCATCCAATTTCATCCCTAAAATGGGAGTTGGTGGAGTGGGGTTGGGGGTTGGCATATAGTGCTGCCCATGTACATCCTATCCCATCCATCATCCCTAAAATGGGATTTGGTGGAGTGGGGTTGGGGGTTGGCATATAGTGCTGCCCATGTACATCCTATCCCATCCATCATCCCTAAAATGGGAGTTGGTGGAGTGGGGTTGGGGGTTGGCATATAGTGCTGCCCATGTACATCCTATCCCATCCATCATCCCTAAAATGGGAGTTGGTGGAGTGGGGTTAGGGGTTGGCATATAGTGCTGCCCATGTACATCCTATCCCATCCATCATCCCTAAAATGGGAGTTGGTGGAGTGGGGTTGGGGGTTGGCATATAGTGCTGCCCATGTACATCCTATCCCATCCAATTTCATCCCTAAAATGGGAGTTGGTGGAGTGGGGTTAGGGGTTGGCATATAGTGCTGCCCATGTACATCCTATCCCATCCAATTTCATCCCTAAAATGGGAGTTGGTGGAGTGGGGTTGGGGGTTGGCATATAGTGCTGCCCATGTACATCCTATCCCATCCATCATCCCTAAAATGGGAGTTGGTGGAGTGGGGTTGGGGGTTGGCATATAGTGCTGCCCATGTACATCCTATCCCATCCAATGTCATCCCTAAAATGGGAGTTGGTGGAGTGGGGTTAGGGGTTGGCATATAGTGCTGCCCATGTTCATCCTATCCCATCCAATTTCATCCCTAAAATGGGAGTTGGTGGAGTGGGGTTGGGGGTTGGCATATAGTGCTGCCCATGTTCATCCTATCCCATCCAATTTCATCCCATCCTGATTTTTTATAGCAACTTCATTCTTTGACCGATTTTGGTCAAACTTTACATAAAGGTCAAATATGAGTAACATTTTGACATCCTAGTGTTTCCAGGGTTCAAGGTCAAAGCCAATTCAACCTTGCTATATCTATATAGGAAATCTTCAACTAATTTAAGTTAAACACTTAACAGTTTTAGTCAGTGGTGCTTTATATGTAAAAACCAGTTCAGTTTAAATACTTAGTGACTTCATTTTTTCCACAATTTTTGTCAAATTTTATACAAAGGTAAATTGTGAGTATACTTTGGATATTGTGTTTCAGGAGCCCCAAGGTCAAAGCCAAGATCACCCTCATTATATATAGTAATTTTGACAGTCATCACTTGATTAATTTTAATATCTTAGCAACTTAAGTCTTTCAATGAATTAGGTCAGGTTTTATGCACAGATAAAGTGTGAGATGTTGTGTTCCAGAAGCCTAGGTCTAAGGCCTTCTCGGTGGGAGCATTCACATCTCACAGAACTTTTTTTTTCATCTAGGAATCTATTCTGTAGTAAGGTTTATGGTAGGTTAAGTTAAGTTTTTTACTGGGGCTATATTTCAGAAGTAAGCATTGTGATAGATTAATATCTTGTATGAACTTTTTATCTGGGGCTATATAACATAGTTAGGATTGTAGTAGGTTAATTAAAGGTAGGAATTATTAACTCACCTGACTGGGAGACCCAAATGAGCTAATGCCCTTGCATGGCATCTGGCATGTGTCTACGTCAGATGCCAATTTTCCACATAAACAACTTCTCCTCCATAACAAGCAGACTAAATGTCATGATATTTGGTCAATGGAGTGCTTGGATGAAGCCTCACAAAGTTTCTGGAAAATAAATGACATTGACCCTTATTCAAGGTCATAGGTCAAATTTATTTAAACCTTAAACAACTTCTTCTGACTAAAAGGCACAGAAGCAAAGTATTTGTGTGATTAGTTCTGAGGGTGAAGCCTGACAAAGTTTGTGAAAAGAAATGACATTGACCTTTATTCAAGGTCACTGGAATTTAATGTAAATTAAAACCTTTGAACAAGGTCTTCTGTCTTACCAAAAGGCACAGAAGCTATTTGGCTGATAGGTTCCCAGGATGACACCTGACAAAGTTTGAAAATAAATGATCTTGACCTGTATTCACATTTTGGTGAACTAGTTAAATCTTTAAACAACTTCTTTTGACTTACTAAAAGGGGAAGAATAATAGTATTCGGGTGATTGCATCTTATATAAAATAAATGACCTAGGCCCATATTGAAGGACACAGAGATAAACATTTATTAAATCTGTAAAAAGAAATCTTCTGGTAAACCAAAGGCCTGAGAAGCAGGATATTTGGTGGAAAAGGATTTCTTAGTCAAAAGTCAAAAAAGTGTGAAAAAAAAGAAAGGCATTTACTTAAAATTCTGGTCATAATTGTCTCTGGCACTTTTTATCTGGGACTGTATTACTTAGCAAGGATTGTGGTAGTTAATTCAGGGTAGGATTTATATATGTGGGGCTATATCACCATGGTAAGGATTGTGGTAGTTAATTCAGGGTAGGGTTTATATATGTGGGGCTATATCACCATGGTAAGGATTGTGGTAGTTAATTCAGGGTAGGATTTATATATGTGGGGCTATATCACCATGGTAAGGATTGTGGTAGTTAATTCAGGGTAGGATTTATATATGTGGGGCTATATCACCATGGTAAGGATTGTGGTAGTTAATTCAGGGTAGGGTTTATACATGTGGGGCTGAACTTTTTATCAGGGGCAGTAACTGAGAGACTAAAGACCTTGTGTGTAGAGCGCTGCCGTTTTGCCTTTCTTTTATTGATTGTGATGTTTAGTTGTTGTATTATGAGATTATCTGTGAATTTAAGATGCATTTTAGATAGCATACTCATGGTTGTGTGCTGCCTGTCCTTAAATGATTCCCAGTAGATATTATTTTCATCAATGTATACAGGATGTTTGAAAAAATAGGTTATATTCAACAAGATACATGTAGGTACATTTATATTGTGAGTTTCATCCAAGATGTATATGTATTTGTTTTTAACATCATTTTCATCAAATCGTTTTCTTAAGTGTCATGTAACATTAAATCTTGTTATTGTTATGAATTGAATTTCTTGTTATATGTATCATACACTTGTTAATACTGCTGTCTTTATCAATACCATACAACTCTTCTGTCCGAAGAACTAGCAGTAAGCATACAGCTCTCCTGTCTAACCCGATAGACAAAATACACACCGTACAAGCATGGCGAATGTCGATGACGTCATGAAAATTAACCCGATAGACAAAATACACACCGTACAAACATGGCAAATGTTGATGACGTCGTGAAAATTAAACCGACAGACAAAATACACACCGTACAAACATGGCAAATGTTGATAACGTCGTGAAAATTAAACCGACAGACAAAATACACACCGTACAAACATGGCGAATGTTGATGACGTCGTGAAAATTAAACCGACAGACAAAATACACACCGTACAAACATGGCAAATGTTGATAACGTCGTGAAAATTAAACCGACAGACAAAATACACACCGTACAAACATGGCGAATGTTGATGACGTCGTGAAAATTAAACCGACAGACAAAATACACACCGTACAAACATGGCAAATGTTGATAACGTCGTGAAAATTAAACCGACAGACAAAATACACACCGTACAAACATGGCGAATGTTGATGACGTCGTGAAAATTAAACCGACAGACAAAATACACACCGTACAAACATGGCGAATGTTGATGACGTCGTGAAAATTAAACCGACAGACAAAATACACACCGTACAAGCATGCCGAATGTCGATGACGTCGTGAAAACTAACCCGATAGACAAAATACACACCGTACAAGCATGGCGAATGTCGATTACGTCGTGAAAACTCACCCGACTGTTCAAATACACACAGGCAGAGAGTCGATGACGTCACAAAAACTGATCCGATAATCCAATTATTCCATTTCAGGATATCAACATCTCCTACATTGTAAGAATCTCTCTCAACCCTCGTTAGGATTCCTGCTTATCTCAACCCCTGGTTATCTTAATTCATCTGCTAATCTCAACTTATTTCCTGCTCAACTATCTTCTGCTAATCTCAATTATCTTCTGCTAACCCGAGTTCATCTGCTAATTCCACCTTATGTCCTACTTACCTGAACTCATCTTCTACGATACATCCAGGTTACATTTCTCAACGTAACAATTTAGAATTTCTCATTTATGAGGCTATAAGCCTGAGATGTATTAAATATAGAATCTGGACAATGTTATGGAGAAATAGGATTGTATCATACAAGTTGCCATTCTAGTTACAAATATAAGACAGAGAATCCTCATCTCTCTCGGTCCTTGGGTAAAGCATGTGTATTCTCTAATACATTTTCAATATATAATCTCGGTACACGTTGATACGAGCCCTGTTGTAAATCATTCAGTAGTATCGGTCTCTGATAAACAAATATTTGTGAAAATCTTCATGTAGAAATGGTATCGATCCTCCTGGTGAAAATATTAGTATCAATCTTCGTGTGAAAATATATTGATATCGATTCTTGGGTAAAAATGTATTGATATCGATTCTCGGGTAAAATATATTGATAACGATTCTCGGGTAAAAATATTAGTATCGATTCTCGGGTAACAATATTAGTATCGATTCTCGGGTAAAAATATTAGTATCGATTCTCGGGTAAAAATATTAGTGTCGATCCTCGGGTAAAAATATTAGTATCGATCCTCGGGTAAAAATATTAGTATCGAATCTGCGGTAAAGCATTAGTTTCTGTCACTGATCAAGTATGACAAATAAATCAAAATTAAGTTGCGTATCGTTTGCAAAAACATTTTGACTGTATCAAATCGATTCCCGGATTAATATATTAGTATTGATTCTCGAGAAAAAATATATTAATATCGATTCTTGGGTAAAAATACTTGTACCGATTCTCGAGTAAATGTATCAGTATCGATCCTCGGGTAAAAACATTAGTATCGTTTCTCGGCAAAAATATATCAATATCGATTCTTGGGTAAAAATATTAGTATCGATCCTCGGGTAAAAAATATTAGCATCGATTCTCAGATAAAATATTAGTATCGATTCTCGGGTAAAATATTGATATCGATTCTCGGGTAAAAATATTACTTTCGATTCCCGGGTAAATATATCAGTATCGATCCTCGGGTAAAAATATTAGCATCGATTCTTGGGTAAAAATATTAGCATCTGTTCTCGGATACAATATAGGTATCGATTCTTGGATAAAATATTGATATCGATTCTTGGGTAAAAATATTAATATCGATCCTCGGGTAAAAATATTAGCATCGATTCTTGGGTAAAAATATTAGCATCTGTTCTCGGATACAATATAGGTATTGATTCTCGGATAAAATATTAATATCGATTCCCGGGTTAATATATTAGTATCGATTCTCGGGTAAAAATATTAGTATCGATTCTCGGGTAAAAATATTAGTATCGATCCTCGGGTAACAATATTAGTGTCGATCCTCGGGTAAAAATATTAGTATCGATCCTCGGTGAAAATATTATTATCGATTTTCGGGTAACAATATTATTATCGATTCTTGGGTGTAAATATCAGTATCGATTCTCGGGTAAAAATATCAGTATCGATTTTCGGGTAACAATATTATTATCGATTCTCGGGTAAAGATATTAGTATCGATTCTTGGGTGTAAATATCAGTGTCGATTCTTGGGTGTAAATATCAGTATCGATTTTTGGGTGTAAATATCAGTATCGATTCTTGGGTGTAAATATCAGTATCGATTCTTGGGTGTAAATATCAGTATCGATTCTTGGATGTAAATATCAGTATCGATTCTTGGGTGTAAATATCAGTATCGATTCTTGGATGTAAATATCAGTATCGATTCTTGGGTGTAAATATCAGTATCGATTCTCGGGTGTAAATATCAGTATTGATTCTTGGGTAAAATATTTGAACTCGACACTCTCTGGTAAAGCATTCATATTGATCCTCTTGAAAAATAAAAGTATCGAATCTACGGTAAAGCATTAGTTTCTATCATTGATCAAGTATGACAAATAAATATAAATTAGGTTGAGTATCTTTTGTAAAATTCTTTCGACTGTATCAAAACAATGTAAGCAGGAATGCTTCGATGACAATACTCAAGCGTGACAATGTTAAATAATACATGTGTTCGAGGTTATATACCTGGGAACAGTTCACTGAACCGTCGCTATTTCTTTACGTCACACATTGTTATTAGTATCTGTCCCGGGAATAAGAAAAGTAGAACAGCCGGGGATAAAATCCATGAACACACATTGTTGAAGATGCCAGAACGTTTAGAGACATATCACCATTATCGGTCGGTTAACTGAAGAATACCTTGATGTGATAACATTTGCTGTTGAGTACTGTCAGTATCTGCACAAACGGTACGTATACTTGGGAAAATTAATCACTACTCATAAAACACACGTTATACAAAACCGTTTACATTCACACATAAACATACATATTCTGCACACCTTCACACTCACAAAATATAAATTGTCTTCCAACTTCCACACATACAAAATCCACATTCTACAAAAAAATAAAAACATTCATACACGCACAATCTAAATCATACAATAACTCCGCACATTCACGCGAAAATAATATATATTTACTCCAAACCACTGTCACACACAAATTCCCTTGTCACAGTGAAGACGATGTAAATTAATTTTGAATAAATAATTATCGTTTGCTAACAGTGATGTTCGTTCGATATTTTATGTATGAAATCGATTCCTGTATGTATTTTTCTATTTGTCATTATTGTTTAGGTACAGACAACAGCTGTGGAATATATTAAAGAGAAGTAATCAATGTGTTACTTGGTAGATGATTGACAATTATTTTCTTCTAACCTCTTTGATACGTAGAAGTTACAACACAAGTATATTGTGCGTTTCTCTGTATCTACTTACAGATGGGCCATGGCGGCGGCTAACTACAAGTCTTAACGTGTCTGTATCCCGACCTTGTGTATTATTAGCTAATTTTTCTGCCGAGTTATAATGCATTATTCATTGACACTATCAGCGTGAACCGTCCGCCAGAGAATGGAAAACTAAGTACTGTCAGTCAGCGACGCTATGATACTGTCATTAGGACCTAAGGGACCAGTATCAAACATGTCATACCTCAAGTCTTAAGTGACCAGTAACATCAGTGAAAAGTGACTGGTAGACTGAAGGCCAGAAACCTTAGTGACCATTAATGGAAAGTCCCAGTGATCGGCCTGTTGACCAGAGACCTCAGTGCCCGGTAACATTAATGAAAAAATCCAGTGATCGGCCTGTTGACCAGAGACCTCAGTGCCCGGTAACATTAATGGAAAAATCCCAGTGATCGGCCTGTTGATCAGAGACCTCAGTGACCGGTTACATTAATGAAAAAATCCAGTGATCGGCCTGTTGACCAGAGACCTCAGTGCCCGGTAACATTAATGGAAAAATCCCAGTGATCGGCCTGTTGACCAGAGACCTCAGTGACCGGTTACATTAATGAAAAAATCCAGTGATCGGCCTGTTGACCAGAGACCTCAGTGCCCGGTAACATTAATGGAAAAATCCCAGTGATCGGCCTGTTGACCAGAGACCTCAGTGAACGGTTACATTAATGGAAAAGTCCCAGTGATCGGCCTGTTGACCAGAGACCTCAGTGACAGGTAACATTAATGAAAAATCCCACAGCCGGTAAACTTTGTGGCCAGAAAAGGCAGTGACAGTAGTAAAAGTGAAGAGTCCCTGTGACCGGTACATTTGATGACCCGAATCCTCATTGACCCTTAATATTAGTGACAAATCGCAGTGATCTGTAAAATTGATGATCAAAGATCTCGGTGACCAATAGAACATTAGTGGAAAGCCCTAGCGATCAGAAAAGCATAATGACCAGTAATCTTAGTGATCAGTAGCCTTAGTGACCAATAAACTTGGTGTCCCTAGTGACCAGTATGGAATATTTCACACGTCAGATCACTCTTCAGGACAGACTGAAGCAGCACGAATGCCAGCTTTACCCACTTTTTGGATCGTGTTTGGAACTCCGGGATGATTCTCCCCCAGGTCGCTATCAGGCCGGACCTCTTGATCTGAGTTTTAACCGAATGACACCCACAGACACGTTTTCATCAGATGAAAGTGGCAAATTTGTACCAACAGGTAGGATTTCGTCATCGGAAGGTGGTACACGTGTAACCACAGACACGTCTTCGTCACCTGAAGGTGGTACACTTGTAACCACAGACACGCCTTCGTCACCGGAAGGTTGTACACTTGTAACCACAGTCACGTCTCCTTCACCGGAAGGTGGTACACTTGTAACCATAGACACGTCTTCGTCACCTGAAGGTGGTACACTTGTAACCACAGACACGTCTTCGTCACCGAAATGTGGTACACTTGTAATCACAGACAAGTCTTCGTCACCGGAAGGTGGTACACTTGTAACCACAGACACGTCTTCGTCACCGGAAGGTGGTACACTTGTAACTACAGTCACGTCTCCTTCACCGGAAGGTAGTACACTTGTAACCACAGACACGTCTTCGTCACTGGAAGGTGGTACACTTGTAACCACAGTCACGTCTCCTTCACCGGAAGGTGGTACACTTGTAACCATAGACACATCTTCGTCACCTGAAGGTGGCACACTTGTATCCACAGACAGGCCTTCGTCTACTAAATTTGGCACACTTGTATCCACAAGCACGCCTTCATCACCTGTAGGTGACACACTTGTACCCACAGGCACGTCTTCAAAACCCGAAGACGACACTTCTGTATCCATAGACAGGCCTTCGTCTTCTAAACGTGACACACTCTTACCCATAGGCACGTCCTCGTCAGCTGAAAGTGGCACACTTGTTCCCAATGTTGTGTCTTTGATACAAAAACCTGGCGAAGCTTGTGGGTTGCAACCTATTGAGAAGTTTCCGGAATCAGAAAATGCCGAATTCGATCACAATTCAGATTTACATACCGCACATTCATCTTTAATAAGTAACGATGGGAAAAAAGGAGAATTGATCACAAGAAACACAAAATGCTCACTCGAAAACACTTCGCGACTGGAGGAGCAAACTCAAGATACAATCCTAACAAGAGCACGCGTACAATGCGACAATATAATTGATAGATCTAACCCCTTATTAAAAGAAGTGCTCGAATCTGGAGAATCAACTGTGTCTACACTATACACCAAGGATAAGCATCAAAACACACAGAAAGTGTTGCACCAAGACGAACACAATGATCCATCTTTACACAGAGATCATGAAGACAGCAGATCTGAATCAGTTATAAACAATGAACATAAGCAACATTTTTCAACATTAAACGATGACCACGAAAGCAAGCGTTCCGATTCAGCAATGACTAAAGAATACATCTCGACAATAGCAGAGGGTCACGTGAGCATGCACTGTAATTTACCAACCGCCAATGACGATATACCAGTGACAATAAACACTACAACATGTGATGTTTCATGCTCAAATCAGGAAAAAACCTTCAAAACTAAGTATTCCAGAAAGCGGAGAAGACGCCTTGCTTTCCTGGCGAGTGGAAAAAGACAAAACGAGTTGATGATATGTCCAAATATAAACGTCAGAGATTTTACCGAGCAGTTTACCAATGACAGATGTCGCTACCATTCGGTTAGGGAATCGAATCATCCACAGCATCCCCTAACAAACTACAGTCAACGTAACATCGATGTAAACCCGTCAGGGTCTTGGGTAGAAGAAAACCAGGAACAAATGCCATCTCATGACCATATCAATCAGCTGTCAATGCCTTCAAATCTATCACATAGTATGAACACACCCGTCCTAGACAAATCGGAAGCATTCTTCCCAACGGCCAATAGAACACTGAAGCACAGTGTACCACCTCCACTAACCTCTGTGAAAAATTATCAATCTGAATCCAGACCGGACCGGAATCTTTATTGTCCTGGTTCTTCCCTAAATGTTGTGACACACGATTTAATGACCGATTCATCTACATGGTCAAACTATCAGCGACAACAGCGGGAACGACAGTATTGTCAGCAACCGGTAAAACAGACATTACACTCGTCAGAAGCTCCCGACAAACATTCCGTTTGTCCAACAGCACCGTTAGATATGACAGCAAAGCGCTCTAAAGAACACAAGAGTCCTGCTGGGAAATCATCCTCGATATCCGAAGAAGCTCGGATCAAGGAAATAAGCGATAACTTGCGCGCTCAGTTACTCGGGCAGTTGTCCAATGTACCTCATTCATGTCCCGGCGTTTGTCTCGGCCATTCCGTTGGTTCGTTGCATAATGATAAGACGCCGAAGTGTATACCGTCACCTCGGCAACCGAAAAGGTTCTCAAACATTAACCAGACGTCAATTATTATCGACCGTCAGCTTTTACTGAACCTTGACTACCAACAATTACTGAATACCGACCGAGAAACAACCCCGAAAGTTGATCAAGGGCTATCGTCAAATGAGTCAGTGACGAGTGATACCGATAGGTTACATAAATGCAACAGTTTTAGAAGTGATGAAAGACATGGTTCAAACAGTGCGGATCCAACAGATGCACAGAATAGAGACTACTCGAATTCTCCGGATGGTAACAGGCCCTCAGACCATCAGAGATCACCAAACGATACCACGTCACAAGGCGGGGACAGGAACACGTTGCCAATGATTACAGCACGTGATGAGATCGTCACGTCTGTGTCAACTCACGTGGATACCAATGGGTCGACGTGTAGCCGATCCTCGCGTTTGATGGCATGGAACTTGTCTGTCAGCAAGACGATTGGGCTACATTCTGACTGTAATAACTGTAAGGCCTGTAGGAGAATCTTTGCCAGACTCAGCATCCCTCCGATCGAGGAACCACATACTCCCACAAAACAAACCAAAATCAAATAAATCGACTAAATGATACGCATGGACATATATCTAAATGTTGGTGAATTCAACAACTAAGCTAAACATATGGTAACCTACACGTGTTGACAAACATCAGCTCTTGTAGGAATCCGCATTTGTACCTTCTGTAGTACCAATGTAGCTTACGGTTACTATAAATAAGTTGAATTTTGTACCCTTTATGTAAATGCTACCTAGATGGCAGAGTGGACTGTGGAATACTGGAAGATGATGTCTGATTTGATGACGTGAATGAACTAATAAAATGATGCTAGGCGCTGGTAAATTGGTTTTTAATGGAAGACAATGCATTTGGTGTATTATCAATGTCACAATTTAAGTCTCCCGGTAGACAAGCTGAAGCATTTAGAGTGGTGACATCCAAATTTCATTTTTTTTTTAAGATAGTAAAGTTGACTTAGCTTTTTAACCACAGAAGGTCAAAACTAACTCCTACAAAAGATGATCTTTGTGAACACGTTTGAAGTTTGGCAAGAACCTTAGAAGCAAAGGAGCCTTTAGGGCAATGACATGAAAATTTTGTTAGTTTCTATTTATAGTTACAGTGACCTAGTATTTGATTGCACACGTTCCGAAGTCAAACTGGTGTAAGATGTGATATTTGTGATAATGTCTGGAGTTTTGTACCAAATAGTTTAGAAATACAGTCTGTTTAACAGTTACATGTATTTTTTTGTTAATTTCATTTTATAGTGTCATCAACCAAATTTGTAACTGCACAAGGTTTGAAGTCAAACTCATACAAGAATTGCTATTTTTTACTGAGGAGTTCAGTGACCTTTAGAAGGGGAAAATGCAGTATGTAAATGGATGTGGGGGTCGTGTCTGTATAACTGGAGAAAAGTCTTATTTCATTTTGCGATCAATTATTTATGTCCTATAAATCAGAAGGAAAACAAGCATACATTTGAACTGATGACTTACAGCGTATCAGTACATTGTACTGATGAACATCATGTGTTGATGACCTACAGCATATCAGTACATTGTATTGATGAACATCATGTGTTGATGACCTACAGCATATCAGTACATTGTATTGATGAACATCATGTGTTGATGACCTACAGCATATCAGTACATTGTATTGATGAACATCATGTGTTGATGACCTACAGCATATCAGTACATTGTATTGATGAACATAATATGTTGATGACCTACAGCATATCAGTACATTGTATTGATGAACATCATGTGTTGATGACCTACAGCATATCAGTACATTGTATTGATGAACATCATGTGTTGATGACCTACAGCATATCGATACATTGTACTGATGGACATCATGTGCTGATGACCTACAGCATATCGATACATTGTACTGATGGACATCATGTGCTGATGACCTACAGCATATCGATACATTGTACTGATGGACATCATGTGCTGATGACCTACAGCATATCAGTACATTGTATTGATGAACATCATGTGTTGATGACCTACAGCATATCAGTACATTGTATTGATGAACATCATGTGTTGATGACCTACAGCATATCAGTACATTGTATTGATGAACATCATGTGTTGATGACCTACAGCATATCAGTACATTGTATTGATGAACATCATGTGTTGATGACCTACAGCATATCAGTACATTGTATTGATGAACATCATGTGTTGATGACCTACAGCATATCAGTACATTGTATTGATGAACATCATGTGTTGATGACCTACAGCATATCAGTACATTGTATTGATGAACATCATGTGTTGATGACCTACAGCATATCAGTACATTGTATTGATGAACATCATGTGTTGATGACCTACTGCATATCAGTCCATTGTATTGATGAACATCATGTGTTGATGACCTACAGCATATCAGTACATTGTATTGATGAACATCATGTGTTGATGACCTACAGCATATCAGTACATTGTATTGATGAACATCATGTGTTGATGACCTACAGCATATCAGTACATTGTATTGATGAACATCATGTGTTGATGACCTACAGCATATCAGTACATTGTATTGATGAACATCATGTGTTGATGACCTACAGCATATCAGTACATTGTATCGATGAACATCATGTATTGATGACCTACAGCATATCAGTACATTGTATCGATGAACATCATGTGTTGATGACCTACAGCATATCAGTACATTGTATTGATGAACATAATATGTTGATGACCTACAGCATATCAGTACATTGTATCGATGAACATCATGTATTGATGACCTACAGCATATCAGTACATTGTATTGATGAACATAATATGTTGATGACCTACAGCATATCAGTACATTGTATCGATGAACATCATGTGTTGATGACCTACAGCATATCAGTACATTGTATCGATGAACATCATGTGTTGATGACCTACAGCATATCAATACATTGTATTGATGAACATCATGTGTTGATGACCTACAAAAGATAGTGTACCGCTATTTATGACCTACTAAAGATAGTGTACCACTATTTATGACCTACAAAAGGTAGTATACCACTATTTATGACCTACTAAAGATAGTATACCACTATTTATGACCTACTAAAGATAGTATACCACTATTTATGACCTACTTAAGGTAGTATACCACTATTTATGACCTACTGACGATAGTATACCGCTATTTATGACCTACTTACTATAGTATACCGCTATTTATGACCTACTGACGATAGTGTACCGCTATGACCTACTAAAGATAGTATACCGCTATTTATGACCTACTGACGATAGTATACCACTATTTATGACCTACTAAAGATAGTATACCACTATTTATGACCTACTAAAGATAGTATACCACTATTTATGACCTACTGAAGATAGTATACCACTATTTATAAATAGAGAATCTTGATGGACTAGATGTTCATGTAACATGACCTCTACAAGATTTGAGTGTAATGTTTCGATGACTTCAGTCACATTAATCAGGCAAATAACCAGTGTGTGACCAGATGTACGTAGTGACAAGATATACACATGTACAAGATGGTCAGGAATCCACCATCTTTATATGCTGTACTATAATCCAATCGTACAACTAATTCGAAAAAAATGTGATGAGATAGTGAAGAGATCAATTCAGCTACACTTTACTAAACACTTGGTCATAGACCTGTGAGAGTCTGTGGTCTCCCTCCTCCCTGTTTAGTCCTGGACCACTGCAACACATCCAGATGCCCTTCTTATCATATATTCTGAAATATTGTATCTTGAAGAATTTTATTACAATAGAATAACACTATATATAAATATGTTTTCCTGCCCTACTGAAAATGATATATCACTATTTATAACACTGTGTCTTAATAACCTTTTGAAATAAAAAAGAATACAGACTTTCCTGGATTACATTTCACAAAATTATTTATTCCTTTTTCAGCCGGGGCAATTGACAAAACATACTGATTTGATGTTTGAGGAACAATGTATATAAATAATTTTGCTTTTTATTGAAATAAACAAAAATCAAAGAAGTCGCCAAATGGACATATAAGGTCATGCCTGGTACTCAGGATATACTATCTAACCTGATACCTGTGATGTTCTGTCACACCTGGTACCTGGGATGTTCTGTCACACCTGGTACCTGGGATGTTCTGTCACACCTGGTACCTGGGATGTTCTGTCACACCTGATACCTGGGATGTTCTGTCACACCTGATACCTGGGATGTTCTGTCACACCTGGTACCTGGGATGTTGTCACACCTGGTAACCAGAATATACTATCACAAACCCTGGATATATTATCACACTTGTGAGTGATAATATAGTCGCATCTGGTATCTAGGATAGACTACCATACCTGATGTAAAAAGGATATACTGTCATTTCTGATATCCAGGATATATTGTGACATCTGATACCCAAAATATATTGCCACACTTAGTATCCAAGATATTCTCTCACACCTGGTATCCAAGATCTTCTCTCACACTTAGTAACCAGGATACACTATCACACCTGATACCAAGGATATCCAGTCATTAAAGTGACCAGGAGTAGGAGGGGAGGAATGACAAGTATTCTTTATATCATTCTAGTTTCACTTTCATATTTGTTTACAAATTGGTGATAGTAAATATATAAAAATGCATTTATATAGTAACCATCTCTTGTAAAGATATTGTAACAAAATAGCCTATCAGACACAACACTACACAGAACAGAGCATACATCTACAGTATCTTACTTCATCAACATACATTTTAGTTTATCTACTCTGTGTACAAAATCTTGTTTTAGGCGAGAAAGCATAGCTAGTGTGTTATGGCTTTCTATCAATGACAGATGGTTATATAAACAATCTGGAGTAAGTTTGGATAATCCAATTTGACAATTTAATGATGCATGATGAATAGGTCATTTCAGTAAATGTCTGATTTCTATAGTATATTGGAAAGCTGATTGTTAAACAGATCAATGTTTTTTTCAGGAAAAGTAAGGTTTTGAAAGGCTTAAATTCAGAATTTAATTTCTAAGATTAAATAGTCATAATAATCCGAGGAGTTTTAATTATGTAGATTGGATGGTGAAAAAAAGAAGAGTTTTATCTTCATAGGGCGTCATTTTGTCACAGACACACTCAAGCAGCTCAAAGATACATCACATCATCATGCAGGCTAATGGTTGTCGAGCTACAGTTTCAGGAATGTTCCTAAAAAAACCTATGGAAATTTCCTCATTTGGAAACCAGCAATGCTTTCCTATCGCCAAAGTTAAGGAATATCTTCCAGTACAGCAAATTTCCTGAAACTGGAGTCAGGACATTTAATACTTCATGTTATCTTAGTAGCCTCATTGCTTCTAATGGATAATTAAGAAAAGTCACCGTCTTCAAGATCAGCTGAAAGGTCATATCTCTCAACAGAAGCATCCATCAAAGCGGTCATCAGCATGTTTTTGTTTACAAGCCCTCTATTTTGCTGCGACCAAATAACAAAACAGCCATGAATCTGTTCACGCATATTGCGTGGGTGTTGCAGCTCCATTTCAGCCATGTCGTTGTCAGATATTCCCAAGGCTCGCATGAAAAAACGCCATTCCCTTCCTAGTTTCCTTGTAAGATAATTGATTTCTTTTTCAACATCTGCAAATTAAAATAATATGTTTAATTTCTAAACTTTGTGTACCCTATCAAATCTTCATAATTGTAATTTCTGTAGTGAATTCTCCTGAATTATTTTACTCTCCACTAGTTTTTAAACAAGAGGCCCATGGATCTGAACGGTCACCTGAAGCCTTCAGGTCTTTGGAGAGTTTAAGAACCTGTCGATCAGTCCCAGCATTAGGGCAGACAGAAAAGAACTGATGTATGTATACTTACAGGCCTTTGGAGAGTTTAAGAACCTGTCGATCAGTCCCAGCATTAGGGCAGACAGAACAGAACTGATGTATGCATACTTACAGGTCTTTGGAGAGTTTAAGAACCTGTCGATCAGTCCCAGCATTAGGGCAGACAGAACAGAACTGATGTATGCATACTTACAGGTCTTTGGAGAGTTTAAGAACCTGGTCATCTGTCCCAGCATTAGGGCAGACAGAAAAGAACTGATATATGTATACTTACTAAGTTTTTATTATTTCACAATAAGTCACTTCAGACTTATCTCAGGTGACCTAATAAAAAGCTTGTGTGCTTCACTAAATATCATATATATATATAGCTCTCCATGTGAGCCCCTTGCTCACTTCCTTTATACATCACACAAAGATTCCACTTCATTTGGTAATTTATGTAACGAGTGTAAGCACTCGTTATTTTATCGCATGTTGGGTAAGGTTTCAAACGTAACATAAGATGAATCACATTAGCATTTTATCACAAGGATAAAAAATCTGAATTTGGTACTATTCAATGTTCCTGTTACACTATTGAATGCTACTGATAGTTTCACAAAGTCTACCAATATATATAAGTCTGTTTGGAGACTTACCTTTGTAGTCATATGTTTGTGCTACCTGATGGCTAGAGACAGCTGTCACTGGTACATATACAGTCTGTTGTGGCGTGCTCACATTTACGGGATATAACTGCACATTCTGTGTGTTGTTGGGTACTGAAACAAGAAGAATCCTTTTGAAAATGTGATTAAGTCCAAGTTATGATGTGAATGAGGTTTTATTTCAAACAAAGAAAGTGGCAGCATAGACTCTCAAACCATAATTAATTGCTTGTTACTGTTTGGAAGTTTTCTCTAAAGTGTCAACTGTGTCCTAGCATTCTCTGTGTTGTATTACAAGTCTTCTGGAGCCATCAATAATGAAACAACAAAGCAAAACCAGAATCCCTCAAAATTACATCACAATTCCAAAATACTGTTTCACAAACAAGAGGCCTAGCGATGTTGGCGGTCACCTGAGATAAGCAATATTGAATATAATGTTTAAAGGGTAAGTTGCTTCCAAGTGTCATGAAAAAGAAATTGTGACATAGATGATAGTAAGCCAGTGTAAATACATGCATACCATCAAAACTGTCATCCTATACTTATAATTCTTATAAAGTTACTTCCAGAGGGATATAAGCAACACTATGCACAAAAATGCAATTTTTCTATAAAAGTCATAGTAAAGTTAACCTCTTTCCCTGTTCACCAATAAGTTTGGTCGGGTGATTCTACATGTCAAGTGTGTAACGAAGGACAAACGTCGAGTAGTTATCACAGAAATGAAAACAATTCCTATATTCAAATCAACAATTTATTTACAACACAAACAAAACACACATGCTCATGCACCCAGTTTTACACAAATAATGCAACACTCTATACTGATTACAGTCTCTGCTGAACTCGAAATCACTACATCAGCCTCTTTACATCAGTTCCAATTTGCAGATGAAAACCTTGTCATTGGATTCCCCAGAGGAAATCACCTAAGTACATGTAGTTCCACCAAGACTTAGCAACCACCTCAGTAGCAACCTGGCACTACCTGTGCCAAACAAGGGAGTCTGTCACTCATGTTGCCCTACACAAACACTGCTGTGCTTCAATTGGTAGTAGTCTCTTTATCTGCATTGTACACAATATCGCAGACTCTCTACTTGTACTGCTTGTGATGTCCACCTCAAGACCTGTCCTGGGTGTTCCAGTGAGTTGGCTGACCTTACAGTCCAAAGGTCCTGGTGTCGTCACCTACTAGTAACCGAGATGAACCTAGTTTGCGATGTCCTCAAGACCTGTCCTGGCGTTCTAGTGAGTTGGCTGACCTTACTGTCAAAGGTCCTGGTGTTGTCACTTACTAGTAACCGAGATGGTTCTGGATGCGGTAACTGAAGGCGTTGACTGTCATATGGATCTTAAAGAATAATAATAACGAAAAACTAATGATTGCATACAACACCTGCACACAACTTATGACACAATAAATTCATAATTGAACACTAGCAATCATCCATAAAAAAACCCAGTAAATTACTATCATATGTTACATAACACATAGCAAAGAGTAATTAAAGTAATAATTTCAAATTGGTTTTGTGCGGGCTATCTAACAACTATCTTGAAAAGGATACAGGAGACATTTACAGCAATTCATAGTGTCCATACTTTTTCAAACACGCACATGTTCTCACCTGAGTAATCTAAATGTTTATAAAATATATATATGTTATGATAAATGCCTCAACACATAGACTTGGCTACAATAAGGATATTCCTAGCTGATAAAAACAAAATATTAAAAAAATATCCGCCCTAATTTAGCATTACACATCATAACAATGCTACTCATGGCTGAGCCGCACAACCTAAACAAGTGTTTACCAAAGATATTTAATTAGTAACATGCGAAGAAAAAAGTAAAGCATAGGAAAAATTACAACGATAGACTTACCACAGTCTGTAATCTGTGTCTGAATATGTTACACAACTGCTACCGCAGATTCAATTGGGTAAATAACCGGTAAACAACGGCTTGAAAATTCACACGACTGCCATGAATTCCCACTCACCTGGTCCCACCCAAATTACGGTGGCTTGACAGGAACAAAAACACAGAATGTACACAAACAACAAATATATACATACAACGTGACAAAGTGATTGTATATTTCAGTCATTTCATTTCTCCCAAATATATCCCGAATGTTCAGAGCCGTATTTTTGTTTTAGAAATATATTTTAGTGATCCTGTTTGCAACAAATAGTGGCTTTTGTGAGGTATCTTACAAACAGGCAACTCCTGTAGAATTTGATGTACATGTTCAATGATCAGTGTGGTATAAGAAATAGATACTTCAATTTCTCTAGAAGCTGTCCTATAACCAGCATTGAACACATCAAAGTCAATCCAAAACCACCCATAACTACCTTAAAGCAGACCATAAATCATACCACTATGTATCAACTGAAAGCAGTACAATGTTTGTTTACCGTCTTCTTGCCAATATGATAGCTGTGCATTGTACAATTTAGTATCATTTGAGTAACTTACAACAGCACAATGTCAATTATATTAATAACATTGCACATAGACTAAAATAGCTAAATGCAGCCTGGAATTCTGAAAAAAGAAATAGTTTTAGGACAAATAGTTTGAAGAAAACAAGATATCCCAAAGGGATCATGGCACCATTCATTGTATATTTGTTCTCTATTTAGTTGGATCTTTCCCTTTTCTTCTCTCCTTTCCTTGTCTTTCCTCTTATCATATTTTCCTGATTTTAAGCCACAACTTTTTCCTCATGGTCTGGCATGAGGCTTGTATAACATTGTAGCTTATATGTGGTACTTTCCCTTTTATCAGACATTCTGTTTTCTCGTGCCAGTCCTAGTCCATGAATTGACCATGTTTAACAAGGATCAAGGATATGTCCACATACAGGTAATTTGAGAAATATCCATGCTGTGAAGTTTGAGAAAATTTCATCCAATTATTGTCAAGAAAAAGCGACAAGAAACTTAAATTTCAAAATCCAATATGGCCAACTGTCAGCCCTTTTTTTCTAGATATGGCCCAAAATGGATTATGCATACCTTGGAACCAAGAGGAACATTCAAATAAAATCTGACAAAAGTTTGTCCAATTGTTTCCAAGAAATAGTTATAACAAATAGTTTTTAAAGACAGATGCACAGACAACTGACCACAGACACTGAGAAGCCCACTATCTTATGAAGGTGCATGGGCTAAAGATTTTGAAAACAAGGGTATTATTAAAATTTGCCAATTTCATTGTCACATATATGTAACCTCAGTAAATACCAGTCATGATGCCATTCAGCTATTCAGAAATCTTCAGCTTGATGAGTTGAACAAATTAGAGTATGCTAGTAAGTAGGTTTGTATCCTAGAGGAGACATTGAAACAATTAGTATAATGATGCCTGTACAGGCTGGTCACATCTCCATGGCCAGCAGACAGTCAAGTAAGAGTTGTCTCAATTTTTTTTTGGTATGGACACAAAGTTTTACAACTCTAACTGATGATGGCACAACCACATAATAATCTATATCACAATATGGAGAATTCCTGTAGGGTGCTCCTATTCAGGAACATATAGTACAGAAGGACAGAGACTGTCTATATCTCTTTGTAATGCCGTAGCAATGAAATTCAAGTCAACTAGCCTTGCAGTTTTTATAAACCATTTTTCTCCAACAGTACCCAACTAAACATTTCAATGTAAACAGTATTAAAAAGCTTAGTACTTTTGAAACTCATTGTACTAAGTTTTGTGACAAATAATTTCGGTCTGTTGAACTATTTACAACTGAAATACCACCCATATTGTATACCACTTTTTGCCCAAAATAAGAAAACCATCTTTAAATTGATGGCAGTAAAAATTTTTGTAATTTTCCAATTGACTCATGTAACTTTTGTGATAAGTTACTTTATTTATTAGTATTAGTTTTGTTACAAAACTGAGCTTCACTTCTCAGTCAACAAAATGGCTCTGGTCAGTGCTAAGTCCACATTAACTACATCTTAGAGGCATAGGTAGATTAGCTGTAAGAAGAGTGGACTCCATGTCTTCACATCTCAGTTTGCAAAAAGCTTAAGTCAGAGTATTTACCAAAAAGCCTAGTTTCTTATCAGTCTGTACTTTATGTCCCTGTCCTATTCAAATAGGAAATTTATATGACAGCACAGTCGAGAACATTAATGTCACATTCGCAGTAAAAATACTTATATTACATACTTACTGTATCATTAACACCAGTATTGGAATAAATTAATTTCTAAATAAAATGACTTGATAATTTTAGGGTAGAAATGACCCCTGTTGATTCTATTTTGTTGGGAGGAGAGGGGGATCGAGTTATTGAACCACCCTGTGTGAGATATAAAGTGAACGACTCTGAAATAACTGACTTTATGGTTTTATGACCAGTGTCCTTATTGTTTTCTTGTTGCTAACCTTTTCCGTTGTTAATCCTGTTATTTGGTACAGTATAACTTTCTAAAACATGCAATATGTCCTTTCTTCCGGAGCAGCAGCTAGACAGCAGATTATGTAAGAATGTAACATTGGTACTATCAAGCATATCACGACTTTCTAGATTGTCACACAATTCGAAAAAGCTTTCTATTTTTGATAAGTCTCGTTTTCCAATCACATCTTTACACATGTATTTCATTGCCTCCAGATCGTCTTTTTTCAACAAGTTTGACAATCGCACCAACGTTCCTCTGAAGTCCGGATTCTCTCCACTGCTTTGGGCAGACATTATCAAATCCCTTTCTGATTTTAAAGTTACCACAAACGTCTGATAGAGTCTACTATTTAACACGTATTCATATTTTTAACAAAACGATAACATTTTAGTTGGTACGAAAAAATCCCCAACAGGAAATATCAATATGGAAACTTGATCCGTGTCAATAAAACGTTTAGCTACATAATGAATTGGAATAAGATTCAAGCGTTTTGCGGACTCTAACTTACAGAATTGCCAAGATGAAAGTAGGAGGCGTGTGTGCGATCTTTCTGTTTCTGACATTTATCTATACTTCTGAAGCTGGAAAATACTCTGAGAATGTTAACAAACCTTTTACAGAATCTAAGAAACCTTTTAGAATGAACAAAGTGAATATGATATGGGAAAAAGCACAAAAAGTAAGTAGATGTGTTCATTAAGCCAATCCCTCGGGAATCGCGGATTCTCTAATGCAACACGAACATCATAACACCCAGTGACGTATAATGATGATTATTATGAAGATTGTTATCGTTTCCTTGACACTGCCGTCGCCCGGCAGAGTCAGATCGAGATTTGTCGATTCTCTGGCGACGTGAGGGGGGTGCTCCCCGGAGTGGCGTATAATGTATCGTTTGTATTATATATCCATATTACAACACATTTACGCTAGCTAGGCTGTATCAGGGCTACCGATGTCAGGTGCTTTCCTAGGGATTACCTGACCGAAATAAATGCTATTGATCAGATCGGGAAACCCGCAAATTTGACTTATAATACGCCAATTGGGGAATTGATTTGTTACTTAACATGGCAAAAAATCACTTTAAACTTAGTTTTTATCATTTTCCCCCAAGTCACATCTATATAGCCAAGAAACACATAAAACTGCAAAAATAGAATTAATTGCACATTGGAAAGTATCGAAAATAGATGCAGTACTTATTACCTGTGTGTATGGCCTACAATAGTACAGTTACTACGGCGGGGACAGTTACATTGGTCTCAAAGAGCTAGAACTTTCAGTAAACATCTTTTCGTAAAAAATATCTTTTCCTTGATTTATGAGACTTTTAATAATATATTGCGAAAGTTAAGGTTGAAACAATTTCAGCAATTTTCAGTAACCAATTCATACCCCATTTGGCATATAATAGTCTAGTTTCCGTGATATATGCAACTTTATGGTTTCCTCCGACTTGTTAAAGGTGGTTTGAAGCCCTGAAGTTCAGATTGACACTTTTGATCTATCAATGGTCACTGACAACCAAAGCAGTTCTGATGTGCTACATTCCTTCCTCCTTTTTAAAGTCTCTGCCCTCGGCCCACAGACACAACTATTTAGAACACAAAGAGTGGAAAAATACATGGCGTGTATTATATACCAGATGTTTTTTCCTGAAGTTGTTTTGCACCATTACATTTCGTACCAGCTTTGGACAATTTACTGTTGTGTTCACTACAGTGATTATACAGCATTTCAATGAACCTCACCTTACATGTCTTTATTACTGTGGTGTTCCCCACAGTGACTATACATTATCCTCACCTTACAGGTCTTTATTACTGTAGCGTTCCCCACAGTGACGATACAGTATCCCCACCTTACATGTCTTTATTACTGTAGTGTTCCCCACAATGACTATACAGTATCCCCACCATACATGTCTTTATTACTGTAATATTCCCCGCAGTGACTTTACAGTATCCCCACCTTACAGGCCTTTATTACTGTAGTGTTCCCTGCAGTGACTTTACAGTATCCCCACCTTACAGGTCTTCATTACTGTAGTGTTCCCCACAGTGACTCTACAGTATCCCCACCTTACAGGTCTTTATTACTGTAGTGTTCCCCACAGTGACTATACAGTATCCCCACCTTACAGGTCTTTATTACTGTAGTGTTCCCCAAAATGACTATACAGTATCCCCACCATACATGTCTTTATTACTGTAATGTTCCCCGCAGTGACTTTACAGTATCCCCACCTTACAGGTCTTCATTACTGTAGTGTTCCCCACAGTTACTATACATTATCCCCACCTTACATGTCTTTATTACTGTAGTGTTCCCCTCAGTGACTATACATTATCCCCACCTTACATGTCTTTATTGCTGTAGTGTTCCCCACAGTGACTATACAGTATCCCCACCTTACATGTCTTTATTACTGTAGTGTTCCCCACAGTGACTATACAGTATCCCCACCTTACAGGTCTTTATTACTGTAGTGTTCCCTGCAGTGACTTTACAGTATCCCCACCTTACAGGTCTTCATTACTGTAGTGTTCCCCACAGTGACTCTACAGTATCCCCAGCTTACAGGTCTTTATTACTGTAGTGTTCCCCACAGTGACTATACAGTATCCCCACCTTACAGGTCTTTATTACTGTAGTGTTCCCCAAAATGACTATACAGTTTCCCCACCTTACAGGTCTTTATTACTGTAGTGTTCCCCGCAGTGACTTTACAGTATCCCCACCTTACAGGTCTTTATTACTGTAGTGTTCCCCATAGTGACTATACAGTATCCCCACCTTACAGGTCTTTATTACTGTAGTGTTCCCCACAGTGACTATACAGTATCCCCACCTTACAGGTCTTTATTACTGTAGTGTTCCCCAAAATGACTATACAGTATCCCCACCATACATGTCTTTATTACTGTAATGTTTCCCGCAGTGACTTTACAGTATCCCCACCTTACAGGTCTTCATTACTGTAGTGTTCCCCACAATGACTATACAGTTTCCCCACCTTACATGTCTTCATTACTGTAGTGTTCCCTACAGTGACTATACAGTATCCCCACCTTACATGTCTTTATTACTGTAGTGTTCCCCACAGTGTCTATCCAGTATCCCCACCTTACAGGTCTTTATTACTGTAGTTTTCCCCACAGTGGCTCTACAGTGTCCCCACCTTACAAGTCTTTATTACTGTAGTGTTCCCAACAGTGACTATACAGTGTCCCCACCTTACATGTCTTTATTACTGTAGTGTTCCCCACAGTGACTATACAGTATCCCCACCTTACAGGTCTTTATTACTGTAGTGTTCCCCACAATGACTATGCAGTTTCCCCACCTTACATGTCTTCATTACTGTAGTGTTCCCCACCTTACAGGTCTTTATTACTGTAGTGTTCCCCACAGTTACTATACAGTGTCCCCACCTTACAGGTCTTTATTATTGTAGTGTTCCCCACAGTGACTATACAGTTTCCCACCTTACATGTCTTTATTACTGTAGTGTTCCCCACCTGACAGGTCTTTATTACTGTAGTGTTCCCCACAGTGACTATACATTATCCCCACCTTACAGGGTTTTATTACTGTAGTGTTCCCAACAATGACTATACAGTTTCCCCACCTTACAGGTCTTTATTACTGTAGTGTTCCCCACCTTACAGGTCTTTATTACTGTAGTGTTCCCCACAGTGACTATACAGTGTCCCCACCTTACAGGTCTTTATTACTGTAGTGTTCCCCACAATGACTATACAGTGTCCCCACCTTACAGGTCTTTATTACTGTTGTATTTCCCACAGTGACTATACAGTATCCCCACCTTACATGTCTTTATTACTGTAGTGTTCCCCACAATGACTATACAGTGTCTCCACCTTACAGGTCTTTATTACTGCTGTATTTCCCACAATGACTATACAGTATCCCCACCTTACATGTCTTTATTACTGTAGTGTTCCCCACAATGACTATACAGTGTCCCCACCTTACATGTCTTTATTACTGCTGTATTTCCCACAGTGACTATACAGTATCCCCACCTTACAGGTCTTCATTACTGTAGTGTTCCCCACAGTGGCTATACAGTGTCCCCACCTTACAGGTCTTTATTACTGTAGTGTTCCCCACAGTGACTATACAGTGTCCCCACCTTACATGTCTTTATTACTGTAGTGTTCCCCACAGTGACTATACAGTATCCCCACCTTACATGTCTTTATTACTGCTGTATTTCCCACAGTGACTATACAGTATCCCCACCTTACAGGTCTTCATTACTGTAGTGTTCCCCACAGTGACTATACAGTATCCCCACCTTACATGTCTTTATTACTGCTGTATTTCCCACAGTGACTATACAGTATCCCCACCTTACAGGTCTTTATTACTGTAGTGTTCCCCACAGTGACTATACAGTGTCCCCACCTTACAGGTCTTTATTACTGTTGTATTTCCCACAGTGACTATACAGTATCCCCACCTTACAGGTCTTTATTACTGTAGTGTTCCCCACCTTACAGGTCTTTATTACTGTAGTGTTCCCCACAGTGACTATACAGTGTCCCCACCTTACAGGTCTTTATTACTGTTGTATTTCCCACAGTGACTATACAGTATCCCCACCTTACAGGTCTTTATTACTGTAGTGTTCCCCACAGTGACTATACAGTGTCCCCACCTTACAGGTCTTTATTACTGTATTGTTCCCCACAATGACTATACAGTGTCCCCACCTTACAGGTCTTTATTACTGTATTGTTCCCCACAATGACTATACAGTGTCCCCACCTTACAGGTCTTTATTACTGTAGTGTTCCCCACAGTGACTATACAGTGTCCCCACCTTACATGTCTTTATTACTGTAGTGTTCCCCACAGTGACTATACAGTGTCCCCACCTTACATGTCTTTATTACTGTAGTGTTCCCCACAGTGACTATACAGCATCTTCATTTTTCCCCTACAGAGACTCTCTAGACCACGCCTTGCTGACCTATATGCTGATCTGACTATCCAGGATAAAGTGGAGAGGGAGCTTAAGAAACTAAAAGCTGAAGACAGAGATAAAGATGGGATGAAGGATGCAGAGGTTCGACAGAGACTCTTAGGTCAGTAAAAGATACTGCACATTTCAAGCTTTTAGATAACTGTAGTTAACCTTCATGTTGCTATCAAAATGAAACCACTAGACATCTATTTGATTGTTTTAGCTCGTCTAGCCATTATATACCATTGTCTGTCTGTCTGCCCATCAGTTTTTCCTACAAATCCTTACTAGTCGTAAATGACTGAGCAGATTTTGACCAAATTTGGCCAGAAGAAATTTTGGGGCAAAGGAAAACAGGTGGGTCTCTGCCAGGGGCAGGAGTGGGGCCCAATTGACCCAATAGTAGTGCAAATTCTTTAAAATCCTGCTTCTGTTGTCTATTCACTTTTTGCCCAAATTTGATGTGATGCATCCTTGCATGAAGAAAACTTAAGTTTTGTATAAATTGTTTATCTTACCTTGCTTGGAGTCTTCCTTTTGTCTTTGTAATACTCTTCCTTTAGTTATTATGAACAAATTTCAGCAAACCAGACCAGGTAAGAAATACAGGCCCTATGGGCCTCTAGTCTTTAAATTAGATATAGAGCAAATAAAAAATAAGTTAACATTCAACATATTAGGGAGTTTATCCTTTAAGCTTGATTGTATAGAAGCTTGACTCATTCAAACGTCAAAACATCACCGACAACCAATTCCAATATGGCAACTGAAGAGCAGCCAACACATGTGGACATTGAATAACGTATTTCAGCAAGTAAACTTTGTACAATGTACTTGTGTTGTCATATCCTTTAATTTAGTCACAATGTATTCAGATTAGTTGTTGTTAAGTCACTGTGATCATTAACATAAAAGTATTATTATTATAATTTTACAAAATTACTTATTTAATTAAATCATATGTGAAACTAACTGTTAATAAGTATTTACTTATCATTGTATTTTAAATGCAGTTATGTTTAAAAAATGATGATATTTTGTTAAAGTGTCCCAATGCGTTGTATTTGGCCCTACAACACACAATACAGCTGCAGCAGTTGTAGTAAAAGAAAGTAAATGAACTGTGTATGTTGTGTAGTAAAAAATATTAGATTCAGATAAGAGAATAAATGAAAATGTGACATGATAAAAAGATAAATCAATAAAAAGTGTCCTAGCTCCAAACCCAGCCATAATCAAGATCATTGATGTGTTTCCTTGTTTAACATCAGGAATTTATCAACTGTTTGCTCCATATTACATAAGCAGTTAACCTATAAATTATCTGGAAGTAGCTACTTAAGGAAAAGCAGTTGATAAGTTCCTGGGGTAGATACTTTCAAGTCGTTTAGAAGCTTTTGCAATGCTGACTCTTTCATATGCTCTAGTGTTAACAAAATGGGTGGCCTTCAGGAACAGAAGGCAGAGATTTGGGTTTAATAGTGTATATTTCAGCAAGTATATTTTTGTACAATGTCCATGTGTGGTAAAATTATGTAATTAGGCCATGATCTTCTCAGATCAGTTGTTGTCACTACAGTCATTAACATAAAAATTTGGATTAGTATATAAATAAATGTTTGATTATTATTAGTGGGATGGTAGATCTAGATTGATAATAATATAATATTTACAGGACAGATGGGCGGGGCCAAAAATGGTCAGATTGACTGAAATACTTCATATCTAGGTGACAGTTAAGGCCCATGGGCCTCTTGTTAAACATGCACAGATGGTACATAGAAATTCAAGCAAATACCTACACATTGTGTATTTGTTAGGTACGCAGATTGTGTGATTTATATTGATAGTAAATAAATTACAGTGGTATAAAAAAGACATTACACATTTTTTACTACCACAGCACCTCCTTATTAGTCATTAATTGAAATCTTTGTAGTCAACAAATCAGTCTTTTGATTTAGAAAAAAATAGTACATGTATTCTTTTGTGATTTCAGAAATTATGAACAGATATGGATTACAAGATGTTATTTCTGTCCCTCCTGGACCAACCATGTCTAATGAGATTCCACAAGAATTCCATGATAAAAAACTCCAAAAAATGTGGAAGAAAGCTGAAATGAGCGGGTTTACAGGTGAGTTGAATAAATCCATTTCTGAAATTATTAATTTTGTCAATATGTAGGTTTTAGTCCTTGCTTCGATACATAAATTTCCAATTAAAGACCATTTAACTATTTGGATATGTTTACAATCAGATATGTATCATACCATATTCTCCAGACTGTCTGTTGTTTACAATCAGATCTGTATCTTACCACATCCGTTGGACTTTCTGTTGTTTACAATCAGATCTGTATCATACCACGTCCTCTGGAATTTCTGTTGTTTACAATCAGATCTGTATCATACCACATCCTCTGGAATTTCTGTTGTTTACAATCAGATCTGTATCATACCACGTCCTCTGGAATTTCTGTTGTTTACAATCAGATCTGTATCATACCATATTCTCCAGACTGTCTGTTGTTTACAATCAGATCTGTATCTTACCACATCCGTTGGACTTTCTGTTGTTTACAATCAGATCTGTATCATACCACGTCCTCTGGAATTTCTGTTGTTTACAATCAGATCTGTATCATACCACATCCTCTGGAATTTCTGTTGTTTACAATCAGATCTGTATCATACCACGTCCTCTGGAATTTCTGTTGTTTACAATCAGATCTGTATCATACCACATCCTCTGGACTGTCTGTTGTTTACAATCAGATCTGTATCATACCACGTCCTCTGGAATTTCTGTTGTTTACAATCAGATCTGTATCATACCACGTCCTCTGGAATTTCTGTTGTTTACAATCAGATCTGTATCATACCACATCCTCTGGACTTTCTGTCATTTACAATCAGATCTGTAACATACCACATCCTCTGGACTTTCTGTTGTTTACAATCAGATCTGTATCGTACCACGTCCTCTGGACTGTCTGTTGTTTACAATCAGATCTGTATCGTAACACATCCTCTGGACTTTCTGTTGTTACAATCAGATCTGTATCATACCACGTCCTCTGGACTTTCTGTTGTTTACAATCAGATCTGTATCATACCACGTCCTTTGGACTGTCTGTCGTTTACAATCAGATCTGTATCATACCACGTCCTCTGGACTGTCTGTTGTTTACAATCAGATCTGTATCGTACCACATCCTCTGGACTTTCTGTTGTTACAATCAGATCTGTATCATACCACGTCCTCTGGACTTTCTGTTGTTTACAATCAGATATGTATCATACCACATCCTCTGGACTTTCTGTTGTTTACAATCAGATCTGTATCATACCACGTCCTCTGGACTTTCTGTCGTTTACAATCAGATCTGTATCATACCAAGTCCTCTGGACTTTCTGTTGTTTACAATCAGATCTGTATCATACCACATCCTCTGGACTTTCTGTTGTTACAATCAGATCTGTATCATACCACATCCTCGGGACTTTCTGTTGTTTACTATCAGATCTGTATCATACCACATCCTCAGGACTTTCTGTCGTTTACAATCAGATCTGTATCATACCAAGTCCTCTGGACTTTCTGTTGTTTACAATCAGATCTGTATCATACCACATCCTCTGGACTTTCTGTCATTTACAATCAGATCTGTAACATACCACATCCTCTGGACTTTCTGTTGTTTACAATCAGATCTGTATCGTACCACGTCCTCTGGACTGTCTGTTGTTTACAATCAGATCTGTATCGTAACACATCCTCTGGACTTTCTGTTGTTACAATCAGATCTGTATCATACCACGTCCTTTGGACTGTCTGTCGTTTACAATCAGATCTGTATCATACCACGTCCTCTGGACTGTCTGTTGTTTACAATCAGATCTGTATCGTACCACATCCTCTGGACTTTCTGTTGTTACAATCAGATCTGTATCATACCACATCCTCTGGACTTTCTGTTGTTTACAATCAGATCTGTATCATACCACATCCTCTGGACTTTCTGTTGTTTACAATCAGATCTGTATCATACCACGTCCTCTGGACTTTCTGTCGTTTACAATCAGATCTGTATCATACCAAGTCCTCTGGACTTTCTGTTGTTTACAATCAGATCTGTATCATACCACATCCTCTGGACTTTCTGTTGTTACAATCAGATCTGTATCATACCAAGTCCTCTGGACTTTCTGTTGTTTACTATCAGATCTGTATCATACCACATCCTCAGGACTTTCTGTTGTTTACAATCAGATCTGTATCATACCACATCCTCTGGACTGTCTGTTGTTTACAATCAGATCTGTATCATACCACATCCTCTGGACTGTCTGTTGTTTACAATCATATCTGTATCATACCAAGTCCTCTGGACTTTCTGTTGTTTACAATCAGATCTGTATCATACCACATCCTCTGGACTGTCTGTTGTTTACAATCAGATCTGTATCATACCACGTCCTCTGGACTGTCTGTTGTTTACAATCAGATCTGTATCGTATCACGTCCTCTGGACTGTCTATTGTTTACAATCAGATCTGTATCATACCACGTCCTCTTGAATTTCTGTTGTTTACAATCAGATCTGTATCATACCACGTCCTCTGGACTTTCTGTTGTTTACAATCAGATCTGTATCATACCAAGTCCTCTGGACTTTCTGTTGTTTACAATCAGATCTGTATCATACCACGTCCTCTGGACTTTCTGTTGTTTACAATCAGATCTGTATCATACCACATCCTCTGGACTTTCTGTCATTTACAATCAGATCTGTAACATACCACATCCTCTGGACTTTCTGTTGTTTACAATCAGATCTGTATCGTACCACGTCCTCTGGACTGTCTGTTGTTTACAATCAGATCTGTATCGTAACACATCCTCTGGACTTTCTGTTGTTACAATCAGATCTGTATCATACCACGTCCTTTGGACTGTCTGTCGTTTACAATCAGATCTGTATCATACCACGTCCTCTGGACTGTCTGTTGTTTACAATCAGATCTGTATCGTACCACATCCTCTGGACTTTCTGTTGTTACAATCAGATCTGTATCATACCACATCCTCTGGACTTTCTGTTGTTTACAATCAGATCTGTATCATACCACATCCTCTGGACTTTCTGTTGTTTACAATCAGATCTGTATCATACCACGTCCTCTGGACTTTCTGTCGTTTACAATCAGATCTGTATCATACCAAGTCCTCTGGACTTTCTGTTGTTTACAATCAGATCTGTATCATACCACATCCTCTGGACTTTCTGTTGTTACAATCAGATCTGTATCATACCAAGTCCTCTGGACTTTCTGTTGTTTACTATCAGATCTGTATCATACCACATCCTCAGGACTTTCTGTTGTTTACAATCAGATCTGTATCATACCACATCCTCTGGACTGTCTGTTGTTTACAATCAGATCTGTATCATACCACATCCTCTGGACTGTCTGTTGTTTACAATCATATCTGTATCATACCAAGTCCTCTGGACTTTCTGTTGTTTACAATCAGATCTGTATCATACCACATCCTCTGGACTGTCTGTTGTTTTACAATCAGATCTGTATCATACCACGTCCTCTGGACTGTCTGTTGTTTACAATCAGATCTGTATCGTATCACGTCCTCTGGACTGTCTATTGTTTACAATCAGATCTGTATCATACCACGTCCTCTTGAATTTCTGTTGTTTACAATCAGATCTGTATCATACCACGTCCTCTGGACTTTCTGTTGTTTACAATCAGATCTGTATCATACCAAGTCCTCTGGACTTTCTGTTGTTTACAATCAGATCTGTATCATACCACGTCCTCTGGACTTTCTGTTGTTTACAATCAGATCTGTATCATACCACGTCCTCTGGACTTTCTGTTGTTACAATCAGATCTGTAACATACCACATCCTCTGGACTGTCTGTTGTTTACAATAAGATCTGTATCGTACCATGTTCTCCAGACTTTCTGTTATTACAATCAGATCTGTATCATACCACATCCTCTGGACTTTCTGTTGTTTACAATCAGATCTGTATCGTACCACGTCCTCTGGACTTTCTGTTGTTTACAATCAGATCTGTATCATACCACATCCTCTGGACTGTCTGTTGTTTACAATCAGATCTGTATCATACCACATCCTCTGGACTTTCTGTTGTTTACAATCAGATCTGTATCATACCACGTCCTCTGGACTTTCTGTTGTTTACAATAAGATCTGTATCATACCACGTCCTCTGGACTGTCTGTTGTTTACAATCAGATCTGTATCATACCAAGTCCTCTGGACTTTCTGTTGTTTACAATCAGATCTGTATCATACCACATCCTCTGGACTTTCTGTCATTTACAATCAGATCTGTAACATACCACATCCTCTGGACTTTCTGTTGTTTACAATCAGATCTGTATCGTACCACGTCATCTGGACTTTCTGTTGTTTACAATCAGATCTGTATCATACCACATCCTCTGGACTTTCTGTTGTTTACAATCAGATCTGTATCATACCACATCCTCTGGACTGTCTGTTGTTTACAATCAGATCTGTATCATACCACATCCTCTGGACTGTCTGTTGTTTACAATCAGATCTGTATCATACCACGTCCTCTGGATTTTCTGTTGAAACATCCCATTTTGTCTTACAGATGAAGAATTAAAACAACTGAAAGAGGAATTTTGGCATCAACAGAATAAACTGGATGAGTTTAATAGTCTGAAGGAAGAAGGATTTAAGTTTGATGGTGAGATAAATAGCATTCTAAACCAAAATATTTCTAAATTTTGTAAACTGATACATAGTGTAAATGTTTGGTCAGGTGAAATATTTCAGGAATTAAAGATTTACTTAGGCTACACATGTTTTTGGAACCACAAATTTTCTTATTGACTTGAACTGACATTCATATCAGAATAACAATTTATTTCAAATGATTTCTGAACCATTGAATGCATTTACCCAAACAAATAGGCAAACAACACGTCCTTGGTCGTATTGATACATGCACATGCTTTTTGATGCCTTGTTTCTAGATGTGATGGACAATAGTCTTGACCCTTATAAAGACAAGGAATTTAATAAGATGTCAAAGATGGAAAGGCAGATGGAGCTGAAAAGGAGAAATAAAGATTTGAATAACAAATACCGTGATCTTCATGAGAAGATGGACAAACCAGGTGATGAAGAGCTGGAATTCTCTGACCACAGGGTCTATGAGTTATGGGCCCTTGCGAAAAAAGCAAACATGTCCCATGCAGAACTGGCAGAATTTAAGGTACATAAACAGATATTTCATGGCTTGTATAGGAATCAGTGTTAAAACGTGAAGATACTGGTGGTGTGTTTGGTACAGTTATTAGTTTTGTTTATTATCCGTGATGAAAGATTGGAGGGGGTTATCGTAATGTCGCTATCATTCTGTCCTTTCACAATACTGTTTATTGTCACTAACTTGAGTTCTCTTCAACCGATCAACTGAAGTTCATGAAGTTCAGGTATACCACTCAAACATCACACACACCTTTATTGTCAGCAGTGTTTGAATGGGGTCACTTTTGGGTCAAAAGGTCAAATGAAAAGATACAAAATTGATTTCTGCCCAATAAATAAAGTCACTTTTACCTGAATAACCTCAGACTTCATAAATTGCTTCATGACGTGAAAAGTGAAAGGTAAAACCCAATGTCGCTATCAATGGAAAATTGGTTTCTGCTCGATAATTTAAGCTCCATTGGACCAATCAAACTTCAAACATTGCATTCTGTGCTTGTTTCTTTTGGATTGCTTTTCAAATGAAAATGTCAATTTAGGTCAGGGTTAATGTAACTATAAAAAGAAAGTTAATTTCCACATAACTTAGGTTCCACTCAGTAAGTCGAGGTCTCTTTGATTGAGCAATCTCAAAAAGTATTAAACAGTCCCTGTCCCTGGGAGATAAATATGGTCGAGGGATACCTTTGCCTCTGTACAAAGATCAGTTGGATTATAGTATTTATGTTTGAGGTGTGACTTTGTCATTTGAATGTTATATACAATGTTATCACATCTGGATATAGTACAAACTGTGATGGGATTGAAGATTTCTCTATTATTCCCTTACAGACGGAGTTAGGACACTTTCAGCGTCGGATATCCAAACACGACTATTACCAGGAACAGCTGTCATACACTGAAGATCTGCTTAAAGATGAATTCAAGGAAGGTGAATTGCCAGAGAAACATGCAGATATTAAACAGCGAGCACAGCACATGGAGAAAACCGTAAGTGTATACACCTCATCTGATTGATATGTCTCTTGTTATCTCAAGGCACAGGTTTAACTCACACCTGTCCCCAATTGTGTTACATTCTTCAAGATAACCATCTATACATTATAATATTTTGTGTTGTGATATATTATTTATCAAGATAATTAAAGCAGGGTAAAAAGGGTTTCATGAGAACTGAATCCTAGTGTTTGTTAGTTTTAAACTACATTTTATATTTTAACTAAGATATCTTCTGTTTAAGGGCATTAGCCAAACACCAGTACTCATCATGTTTTAGCCCAGTAAATAACACTGTAATATATGGTTATATTTAGTTTAAAAAAGTGTGAAATATTGATTATTTATTATTTTTAACACAGAGAGGACATCACTAGTAATTAAATTTGACACACCCATTTATTGCTTTTGTAGGGGATGGGGAGGGGGGGTGGAGGGGAGACTCTGGTCTTTATATATATACAGAGACATTGTATTGTAATGGTAGAAAGCAAACAACTATTGCAGTTGTCCGTTAGTAATTTCTCAAAATCTCTATTGTGACTGGATTGTTGTTTTTTGGCACAACATCATCTGATGGTGGGCTATTTAAACTGCCCTATGTCTGTGGTCCACCATCCATCTGTCCGTCTGTAAACAATTCCTTTGTGCATCACTATTTTTTGAGAAATATGTAAGTTCCCCTTGGTCCCAAGTTGTGCCTGTTTGATTTTGGGACTGATCTGAAAATAAAATGGCTTTCAGACTACCATCTGGATTTGCAGTGTAAGATTATTATCAATATTTCTGCAAAGAAATGTTCAGTTGTCTTATCATTAAGAGCAAAATAAAGAAGAGAAGAGAAGGAAAAATCCAAGTATAAACGAACAAATAAAGATCAGACAATGGTTGTCATGAAGATCTCTCAACGATCTCTTGGTTTTTATGATAGTTTTCTAAAATAGAAACGCAGGTTTTGATAATAAGCCAATATCTTCCTATTAGTGATTTTTACCCAACAAAACAGATTGTTTGCAAGTCAAGCAAAGCTTTTGATGATATTTTGATCTTTTGTGTTTAACAGGTTCGTAAATACCATGCCCATCTTAAAGACACAGTAGAAAAAGCCATTAACAACAGACACACAGAGTTATAATCTTTATGATGTAGGAGTGGCCGTCTAGATGGAGAGGAGAATAACACACACAGAGTTATAATCCTTATGATGTAGGAGTGGCTGTCTAGTGGCCATCTAGATGGAGAGGAGAATAACACACACAGAGTTATAATCCTTATGATGTAGGAGTGGCTGTCTAGTGGCCATCTAGATGGAGAGGAGAATAACACACACAGAGTTATAATCCTAATGATGTAGGAGTGGCCATCTAGTGGCCGTCTAGATGGAGAGGAGAATAACTGATATTTAATGGGTGAGAGAGCGGACATGTGTCTGTGGACAGAGAGTGGAATAACACTGAGAATGGAAGAGGTAAATGACCAGCACAGAGAATGGACAGGTTATGGCTGTAGAGAGAAAGGGGAATAACTCTAAGAATCATTTCCAGTTTGAGAGTGTATGCTTACACACATGTTCCTTACATCATTTGATGTGGAATTGGGAGCCATCACAGCTGGCATCCCTATACTTTTCCCAATCTCAGATACTGACACAAATCCTCCTTATCCAGATTGTTTTTTTTATTCTGTTGGTTTTGTTGGAATATTTCAGTCTGATATGTGGCCATATTAGATATAAAATAAACATCGGACTGAAATACACTGTATAGTTATCTCATCATATCACCTTCTAGTCCCTCTCTGTTGCCTTATAAGTGCTGAAAAGGGAAATATCATGTCTATTTGAATCCTTTAGTACATCCATCAGGGAATTAAGTGTTTACATTTTTATGTTTGGATAATCTCAGATATTTGATGACGATGCTTTATGACACATATGTTTGTGTGTTATAAAGATGGTGATCTGAGCCCTCAGAATCTCTTACCCTGGATGTCAGTACCTTAACTTTTCACATTATCAAAAATACCAAAGAAAGATTTACAATGGATTTATCATGGCCTTATGAAAATAGACCTAAAAACTTGTGTGTGTTCCTGTATATATGTAAAGTACAAGTGATATATGTAAAGTACCAGGTACTGATACATGTAAAGTACCAGGTACTGATATATGTAAAGTACCAGGTACTGATACATGTAAAGTACCAGGTACTGATATATGTAAAGTACCAGGTACTGATATATGTAAAGTACCAGGTGTAAAGTACCAGGTACTGATACATGTGAAGTGCCAGGTACTGATACATGTAAAGTACCAGGTACTGATATGGGTACAAATGACAGGCACTGATATATGTAAAGTACCAGGTGTAAAGTACCAGGTACTGATATGGGTACAAATGACAGGTGTTCTGCTTTAGTACAGGTATGGTGTAAACAATATTTACTTTGACTCTATCTCACTGGGAGTCCGACAGGACTGTCATGATCTGTATTCTGTAACTTTTTTTTGATCATTTTATAGTTTATAATATTCAAAATATCACATGTACATGCCAAATAATGTTTTATATCACTGCTTTTATCATCATGCTTCCCAACCCCCTAGGACATAAGATGAATCTATTTCTTCATTAAATTCCTGTGCAGGAAGATACCACTACTGTAACCTTTAGAAGTCCTCTGTGTGTAGATTAAATACAGGACTCCTCTATAGGAGACATTTGTCAATTCACAAGTTCATCACTCATCCTTTATGGTTTAACCAATAGTATGTTTGTAACATGTTGACATATTTTATTTCATTTTTGCAGTTTTAGAGAAGTTGGACATTTATTAGCATATATAAAAGTCTTTAGGAAAGTGTCATATACACATGCACACACTGTGCTATAAAAACACAGAGGTATTGAAGATGATACGTTTCTTAGTTATTGATAATACATCATTGTTAGGTTGTGATTTGTGACAGTGTTACCTGTGAATGTTGTTCAGATTGTTTATTATTGTACCAAGCATTTATAATGACATGTACATCTGTAGGACATGTCTTTATAACGACATGTACATCTGTAGAACATGTCTTTATAATGACATGTACATCTGTAGAACATGTCTTTATAACGACATGTAATGTGTAGGACATGTCTTTATAACCATGTGTATATCTGTAGAACATGTCTTTATAACCATGTGTACATCTGTAGAACATGTCTTTATAACCATGTGTATATCTGTAGAACATGTCTTTATAACCATGTGTACATCTGTAGAACATGTCTTTATAACCATGTGTACATCTGTAGAACATGTCTTTATAACAATGTGTACATCTGTAGAACATGTCTTTATAACAATGTGTACATCTGTAGAACATGTCTTTATAACAATGTGTACATCTGTAGAACATGTCTTTATGTTAAGAACATATCAGTCGTCTTGAAAGGACATTAAACAGCTGTATTTGGACCTATTAGTGAGAATATGAGATTTATGTCTGTGACAAAACTCGGGGACAAAATGAGAGTATGATTGCATTTGTTATTGTAAAATAAATTCTTGGATTGTAAGACTTAATTTACAACAGACCACTTTGTCAGTGTTCAGGTGCTACTGGTCATAAAGTATCATGTATATAAATGTATATTTGCTGAAATGTGTATATATTTGTAACAACAATAGACAAAGGTTTTATGTACAGGTAACAGTAATCTTTAAGTGCAGTAGAAATAATCATATCAATTCTTACTAAGGAAAGTTATGCCACCATTGTTGATACTCAGATGATTGTAATCTTGATATATTTCTTTTCTGAGGTAGAAATAAAAGAAATAATTTATTGATTTTATTTGTCTTCTGTTTATTAGGTGTAAAATGGTTCCCAAGGGATCTAGGTGTCCTTTCATTGGTTCCTAAGAGATCTAGGTGTCCTGTAGGTGATCCCTGAGGGATATCTAGGTGACCTGTTTGTGATGCCTTAGGGATATCTAGGTGCCCTGTAGGTGATCCATGTGGGACATCTAGATGTCCTGTAGGTGATTCCTGAGGAACCAAGATGCCCTGTAGGTGATCCCTGAGGGATATCTAGGTGTCCTGTAGGTGATCCCTGAGGGATATCTAGGTGCCCTGTAATTGATCACAAAGAGCTATCTAGGTGCCCTGTAGGTGATCCATGTGGGACATCTAGATGTCCTGTAGGTGATCTCTGAGGGCTATCTACGTGTCCTGTAGGTGATTCCTGAGGAACCAAGATGCCCTGTAGGTGATCCCTTAGGGCTATCTAGGTGTCCTGTAGGTGATACTTGAGGGATATCTAGGTGCCCTGTAGGTGATCTCTGAGGGCTATCTAGATGTCCTGTAGGTGATCCCTGAGGACTTTCTATGTGCCCTGTATGTGATCCCTGAGGGTTATCTAGGTGTCCTGTAAGTGATCTCTAAGGGCTATCTAGGTGCCCTGTAGGTGATCTCTGATGGCTATCTAGGTGCCCTGTTGGTGATCCCTGATGGCTATCTAGGTGCCCTGTAGGTGATCCCTGCGTGTTACCTAGGTGTCCTGTAGGTGATCCCTGAAGGATATCTAGGTGCCCTGTTGGTGATCCCTGAGGGATATCTAGGTGTCATGTAAGTGATCCCTGAAGGATATCTAGGTGCCCTGTTGGTGATCCCTGAGGGATATCTAGGTGATCCCTGAGGGTTACCTAGGTGTCCTGTAGGTGATCCCTGAGGGGTATCTAGGTGTCCTGTAGGTGATCCCTGAGGGCTATCTAGGTGCTCTGTAGGTGATAATTGAGGGATATCTAGGTGCCCTGTAGGTGATCCCTGAGGGATATCTAGGTGCCCTGTAGATGATCCTTGAGGGCTATCTAGGTGCAACAAGATGATCCATGAGGGATATCTAGATGTCCTGTAGGTGATCCCTGAAAGATATCTATGTGTCCTGTAGGTGATCCCTGAGGGCTATCTAGGTGTCCTGTAGGTGATTCCTGAGGAACCAAGATGCCCTGTAGGTGATCCCTGAGGGCTATCTAGGTGCCCTGTAGGTGATCCCTGAGGGTTACCTAGGTGTCCTGTATGTTATTACTTGACGGATATCTAGGTGTCCTGTAGGTGATCCCTGAGGGATATCTAGGTGCCCTGTAGATGATCCCTGAGGGCTATCTAGATGTCCTGTATGTGATCCCTGATGGCTATCTAGGTGTCCTGTAGGTGATCCATGAGGGATATCTAGGTGTCCTGTAGGTGATTCCTGAGGAACCAAGATGCCCTGTAGGTGATCCCTGAGGGATATCTAGGTGCCCTGTAGGTGATCCCTGAGGGCTATCTAGATGTCCTGTAGGTGATCCCTGATGGCTATCTAGGTGTCCTGTTGGTGATCCCTGAAGGACATCTAGGTGCCCTGTTGGTAGTCCCTGAGGGATATCTAGGTGCCCTGTAGGTGGTCCCTGTGGGCTATCTAGGTGCCCTGTAGGTGATCCCTGATGGCTATCTAGGTGCCCTGTAGGTGATTCCTGAGGGTTATCTAGGTGCCCTGTTGGTGTTCCCTGATGAATATCTAGGTGCCCTGTTGGTAGTCCCTGAGGGCTATCTAGGTGCCCTGTAGGTGATCCCTGATGGCTATCTAGGTGCCCTGTAGGTGATTCCTGAGGGTTATCTAGGTGCCCTGTTGGTGTTCACTGATGAATATATAGGTGCCCTATAAGTAATCCCTGAGGGCTATCTAGGTGTCCTGTAAGTGATCCCTGAGGGCTATCTAGGTGTCCTGTAGGTGATCCCTGAGGGATATCTAGGTGCCCTGTAGATGATCCTTGAGGGCTATCTAGGTGCAACAAGATGATCCATGAGGGATATCTAGATGTCCTGTAGGTGATCCCTGAAAGATATCTACGTGTCCTGTAGGTGATCCCTGAGGGCTATCTAGGTGTCCTGTAGGTGATTCCTGAGGAACCAAGATGCTCTGTAGGTGATCCCTGAGGGCTATCTAGGTGCCCTGTAGGTGATCCCTGAGGGTTACCTAGGTGTCCTGTATGTTATTACTTGAGGGATATCTAGGTGTCCTGTAGGTGATCCCTGAGGGATATCTAGGTGCCCTGTAGGTGATCCCTGAGGGCTATCTAGATGTCCTGTATGTGATCCCTGATGGCTATCTAGGTGTCCTGTAGGTGATCCATGAGGGATATCTAGGTGCCCTGTTGGTGTTCCCTGATGAATATCTAGGTGCCCTGTTGGTAGTCCCTGAGGGCTATCTAGGTGCCCTGTAGGTGATCCATGAGGGATATCTAGGTGCCCTATAGGTGGTCCCTGAGGGCTATCTAGGTGTCCTGTAGGTGATCCCTGAGGGATATCTAGGTGCCCTGTAGATGATCCTTGAGGGCTATCTAGGTGCAACAAGATGATCCATGAGGGATATCTAGATGTCCTGTAGGTGATCCCTGAAAGATATCTACGTGTCCTGTAGGTGATCCCTGAGGGCTATCTAGGTGTCCTGTAGGTGATTCCTGAGGAACCAAGATGCTCTGTAGGTGATCCCTGAGGGCTATCTAGGTGCCCTGTAGGTGATCCCTGAGGGTTACCTAGGTGTCCTGTATGTTATTACTTGAGGGATATCTAGGTGTCCTGTAGGTGATCCCTGAGGGATATCTAGGTGCCCTGTAGGTGATCCCTGAGGGCTATCTAGATGTCCTGTATGTGATCCCTGATGGCTATCTAGGTGTCCTGTAGGTGATCCATGAGGGATATCTAGGTGCCCTGTTGGTGTTCCCTGATGAATATCTAGGTGCCCTGTTGGTAGTCCCTGAGGGCTATCTAGGTGCCCTGTAGGTGATCCATGAGGGATATCTAGGTGCCCTATAGGTGGTCCCTGAGGGCTATCTAGGTGCCCTGTAGGTGATCCCTGATGGCTATCTAGGTGCCCTGTAGGTGATTCCTGAGGGTTATCTAGGTGCCCTGTTGGTGTTCACTGATGAATATATAGGTGCCCTATAAGTAATCCCTGAGGGCTATCTAGGTGTCCTGTAAGTGATCCCTGAGGGCTATGTAGGTGTCCTGTAGGTGATCCCTGAGGAACCAAGGTGCTCTGGTGGTGTTGGCTTATTAAACCTAATCCTAGTTGGCCCTTAGAGATCTACATAATTTTTATGTTAATGTAGGGGATCAATGAATAGCCCTTAAATGACTGACTAGTGTATGCTGAGCTGCCGTCTTTGAGACTTGGTATGCAAATGTTTAAACCAAGTTTGGGAAACTCCAGAAAAAACTTGTGTTTAGCATGGAACACTTTCAAGATCAGATGAAAAATCATAGCGTAACCAAAATCTTGTCATTGATTTCTTTTCTATTCATTGTATTGTTGATAGCTGGTTTTATATCCCACCTCCAATGAAGCAAATGTTCAGTCATTCATCATGCATTGTTTTTGATTGTCAAAAGTTTCATACAACTTAATGAGACAAAGGTGAATCAATTTGTGGTTTAGGTAAATTGTTTTTATCTGTTATTTTATTAAAACTAATAAAACATTTCCCTTGACATCATATCTACCTTTTTCGTCTCCCAGGGTGTGAGGTAAGTTGTAGATCATTGTCATCATTATATAGCACAATGAACCTTCAATTACCTCAAGTTATGTGGGAGTAGCCACTGACTCAATGACAACAACTGATGAAAACCCAAACTAAGATGAGAATCATCTCGGAGAATAATTCTCACCATCAAAGAGAATAATTCTCATCATCAAAGATAATAATTCTCACCATCAAAGAGAATAATTCTCACCATCAAAGATAATAATTCTCACCATCAAAGACAATAATTCTCACCATCATTCTCACCATCTCGGAGAATAATTCTCACCATCAAAGAGAATAATTCTCACCATCAAAGAGAATAATTCTCACCATCAAAGAGAATAATTCTCACCATCAAAGATAATAATTCTCACCATCAAAGAGAATAATTCTCACCATCAAAGAGAATAATTCTCACCATCAAAGAGAATAATTCTCACCATCAAAGAGAATAATTCTCACCATCAAAGAGAATAATTCTCACCATCTCTGAGAATAATTCTCACCATCAAAGAGAATAATTCTCACCATCAAAGAGAATAATTCTCACCATCAAAGAGAATAATTCTCACCATCAAAGAGAATAATTCTCACCATCTCGGAGAATAATTCTCACCATCTCGGAGAATAATTCTCACCATCAAAGAGAATAATTCTCACCATCAAAGAGAATAATTCTCACCATCAAAGAGAATAATTCTCACCATCAAAGAGAATAATTCTCACCATCTCGGAGAATAATTCTCACCATCAAAGAGAATAATTCTCACCATCTCGGAGAATAATTCTCACCATCTCGGAGAATAATTCTCACCATCAAAGAGAATAATTCTCACCATCAAAGATAATAATTCTCACCATCAAAGAGAATCACCATCAAAGAGAAATAATTCTCACCATCAAAGAGAATAATTCTCACCATCAAAGAGAATAATTCTCACCATCAAAGATAATAATTCTCACCATCAAAGAGAATAATTCTCACCATCAAAGAATAATTCAATAATAATTCTCACCATAAAAGATAATAATTCTCACCATCAAAGAGAATAATTCTCACCATCAAAGAGAATAATTCTCACCATCAAAGATAATAATTCTCACCATCAAAGAGAATAATTCTCACCATCAAAGAGAATAATTCTCACCATCAAAGAGACAATAATTCTCACCATCAAAGAGAATAATTCTCACCATCAAAGAGAATAATTCTCACCATCAAAGAGAATAATTCTCACCATCTCGGAGAATAATTCTCACCATCAAAGATAATAATTCTCACCATCAAAGATAATAATTCTCACCATCAAAGAGAATAATTCTCACCATCAAAGAGAATAATTCTCACCATCAAAGAGAATAATTCTCACCATCAAAGAGAATAATTCTCACCATCAAAGAGAATAATTCTCACCATCAAAGAGAATAATTCTCACCATCAAAGAGAATAATTCTCACCATCAAAGAGAATAATTCTCACCATCAAAGAGAATAATTCTCACCATCAAAGATAATAATTCTCACCATCAAAGAGAATAATTCTCACCATCAAAGAGAATAATTCTCACCATCAAAGAGAATAATTCTCACCATCAAAGAGAATAATTCTCACCATCAAAGAGAATAATTCTCACCATCTCGGAGAATAATTCTCACCATCTCGGAGAATAATTCTCACCATCAAAGAGAATAATTCTCACCATCAAAGATAATAATTCTCACCATCAAAGATAATAATTCTCACCATCAAAGAGAATAATTCTCACCTCACCATCAAAGAGAATAATTCTCACCATCAAAGATAATAATTCTCACCATCAAAGAGAATAATTCTCACCATCAAAGATAATAATTCTCACCATCAAAGAGAATAATTCTCACCATCAAAGAGAATAATTCTCACCATCAAAGAGAATAATTCTCACCATCAAAGAGAATAATTCTCACCATCTCGGAGAATAATTCTCACCATCAAAGAGAATAATTCTCACCATCAAAGAGAATAATTCTCACCATCAAAGATAATAATTCTCACCATCAAAGAGAATAATTCTCACCATCAAAGAGAATAATTCTCACCATCAAAGAGAATAATTCTCACCATCAAAGAGAATAATTCTCAAAGAGAATAATTCTCACCATCAAAGAGAATAATTTCTCACCATCAAAGAGAATAATTAATTCTCACCATCAAAGAGAATAATTCTCACCATCAAAGAGAATAATTCTCACCATCAAAGATATAATTCTCACCATCCATCAAAGAGAATAATTCTCACCATCAAAGAGAATAATTCTCACCATCAAAGATAATAATTCTCACCATCAAAGATAATAATTCTCAACATCAAAGATAATAATTCTCACCATCAAATTCTCACCATCAAAGAGAATAATTCTCACCATCAAAGAGAATAATTCTCACCATCAAAGAGAATAATTCTCACCATCAAAGAGAATAATTCTCACCATCAAAGAGAATAAGTCTCACCATCAAAGAGAATAATTCTCACCATCAAAGAAGAATTCTCACCATCAAAGAAATAATTCTCACCATCAAAGAGAATAATTCACACCATCAAAGAGAATAATTATCACCATCAAAGAGAATAATTCTCACCATCAAAGAGAATAATTCTCACCATCAAAGAGAATAATTCATCAAAGATAATAATTCTCACCATCAAAGAGAATAATTCTCACCATCAAAGAGAATAATTCACCATCAAAGAGAATAATTCTCACCATCAAAGAGAATAATTCTCACCATCAAAGAGAATAATTCTCACCATCAAAGACAATAATTCTCACCATCAAAGAGAATAATTCTCACCATCAAAGAGAATAATTCTCACCATCAAAGAGAATAATTCTCACCATCAAAGAGAATAATTCTCACCATCAAAGAGAATAATTCTCACCATCAAAGATAATAATTCTCACCATCAAAGATAAAAAATATTATCAAACATAATAATTTCCATCATCTCAGATAGACCGATGTGTTGTTCTAGTACAGTGATCTTCCATGTTTGACAATACAAGTTTTATTGGGAATTGATGCGAGTGAGTATAAACACGTGACAACACATGTGAGAGAAACAGGTCCAGATGAACCCCTTTATTTACTAAATATTGATATCTTTATATTAACTTTAATATTGTCTGTAGTAAATGCAGCTCCAAAGACACTATAAAGATACAGACTTGAACATGTGATGTCAGTTGTTGATGCTTTGTCATCAAGGATGTTTGATAATTCGCCATAAATGTCGTTTTCATAATTGTGAATTAAAAAGCTATCACCAGCAGACAAGTTGCTTTCACAGACAAAATTTTAATCTCCCTGAAGATTTATTTCAAATACAACTAACCTAATATTCCAATGTTTCTGTGGTATATTACAGTGTACTCCCTCAGAATCATTGTTAACGATTTATGCTCCGAACTCTGTAAGAAAACTTTTTTTTAAATTTGTTGTTGTTGTTGTTGTTGTTGTTGTTGTTGTTGTTGTTGTTGTTGTTGTTGTGAAAGTGATAACTTCTGTCTAAGTTAGTGTGACTTCCTGTACACGTTATTGGTAAAATCTAACTCACTTGATCTTAAGTAACACGACATATGATTGGCCGATGAAAATAATTTACAGTGATATAACCAAGATATACCACCAAATAACAAAAGCCAATAAGGTGATGATGGTGGGCGATTCATATCTTCGATTTTTAAAATGAAGTTTGTTATCACTATTTTAGAAAAGTTTCCCTTTGTGCGGCTACTTGTGCTGCTTTGATTTTGGGTCTGATTAGAAATGCAAAATGTCCGGCAGGTGGCCATCTTTGACCTAACCTAGTAAACTTTGTTATCGCTCTTTCTTGAGAAGTACTCAATGGATCTCTCTCAAATTTCCTCTGTAGGTTCCCCTTTGTCCCTAGTTGTGTCTATGTGTTTTGGGATTGATCAGAAATAAGAAAATGGTTGATATGCAGCCACCTTGGAATTTGAATTTTAAAGTTTGTTATCTCTGTTTCTCGAGAATTACCGGATAGCGGTAGATCTTTCTTAAATTTCATGTGTAGGTTCCCATTTATCACTAGTTGTACCAGTAAGACGTTGAGCCTGTTTAAAAACAAAATGGCCGATAGGTGGACATATTGGATTTTGACTTTGAAAGTTTGTTATCACTATTTCTTGAGAAATACTGCATAGATCTTTCTCAAATTCCATGTGTCGGTTCCCCTTGATCCATTGTTGTGACAATCCCTCAAAAACGATTCTTGATTGGGGAGCTGAAGTTATCGTTGGCCATCCTGGCGACAGTTCTAGGTATGCTTTTTCTGCAAAGGGTTATTTTGTTTTTATTAAGAGCAAAAACAGAGAAAAGAAGGACATGAGCCAACACTCTAAGAACAAATAGATATCAAACATTTGTGTGTGCCAAGATCCCTCTGGGATATCTTTTCTATTCTAGTACGAGGTTTTTGAAAAGGGGGTTAGTTTTTATAAAGTCAAAAACAAATAATCATTTTCACAATTTTTGTTTTATTATCATTTTTTCTTACAAATAGCAGGTATTTGTTGTTTTCAGGTCAATTTCCCCCTCCAAATTTCACTGTAATTGAAATGTTATAAAATCATACTCAGATAGCACGCGAGTAGGTACCAAGAAAATCATAAATTTTCATTTGATTTTACAAGCTTAAAACAACATACCAACAAAACTCTGATTTTGTTCAGCAATGGCTTAAGTCTTATATCTAAAAAAAGGTTCTAAAGATATTTAATGACTTTCTGCTTCCAGAAATATCTGTTAGGGTTGATGATTGAAAAAAGGTTGTTTACTTAGTTTTTTTATCAGTATACTTATTTTTCATTCTTCTTTTCTAATTTTCATTAAAAAAAACCCTTTTTATTATGAAGAAACATAGAGAAATATCTATATTAGGGTCCTTAAAATGAAAGTTATCGATCAGCCAAGCCAGGATTGCACTAATTTAAAACTTTGATTTGTGGTAATAATTCACTTAAATTTTTTTTGAAGTCTTCTGAAGGTTCATAGAATTGTCTTAAATGCTGAAATATACTGAAAGTTCATAGAATTGTCTTAAATGTTGAAATCTACTGAAGGTTCATAGAATTGTCTTTATGTTGAAATATACTGAAAGTTCATAGAATTGTCTTAAATGTTGAAATCTACTGAAGGTTCATAGAATTGTCTTAATGTTGAAATATTCTGAAAGTTCATAGAATTGTCTTAAATGTTGAAATCGTCGATGCTATTAATTGAATCACGACGTCAACTACTATATGTAGTGAACAAGTCAATCATTCGTCAAACGTCACGTTGAGCACTGTATTTTAGACAGTAAGTAGTATTACAGATTAATAAAAAGTTTTTATAGAAGCGCAACGATAAGATAATTCACTGAAATATATTTCATACTGAGTTATGCACTACTTCCGGTTAAACCTGACCTTCATACATCCTTTATTGTGAATTTTCAGGTACTACGGCTATCTTACGATATGACCCTGGCTTTGATAGTACGAACCTTTTGGTCCTTGTAAAAACAAAAATAGAAGTAAAAACATGTACAGGGATGGCCCTCCTTTGGATGGGAGTCTGGACCTGTTTCAACCAAATTTGCATCCGGTTGTACTGAAATGAATTCACCTTACAACATTTCTTCTAATGATACACGAACATATGTGCAACACGTATACACAGTTAATATGTATCGCAACAGTGACACTTAAATGTCGTTTACATACACCAAAACATGTTTTACATCTGAATGACGTCACATACAGCAACTCGTTCAAACATTGAGAGGATACGATGCATGACAATATCCGCCTAAATGTAATAGGGTTAAGTTTTAGGTAATTTTGGCCGCCGTTGTCTAGCGTCGCGCCGTTTGGATTTCCGCGTCGTCTGTGATCGTTATAAATGTATGTATATATGTTGCGTCTATATGTTTAGTTTGCCCGTGTGACGTAGTGTGTCTACGTATGTCCAGTTATTGTCTCGTTTTCGTTCTTTGGTCTTTGTCTGTATTTGGCGGGTTTTCAGTGGACAAAGGGGACATTGACCATTACGGACGATTGAAACCTCCGTCCAGATTATGAACACCTTGTCCCGTAAATTGGTCTTTAGGGTTTAACCTAATAAACATCTGGAACCGGACCTGGTGTTCGCCCTCATTATTTTTTATAAAACAACCAAATTTACATAAATCTTTTTTGTTTTTGAGCAATTGTTAGAAATTTCCTCCCTTCTCTCTCTCTCTATTTCTACCATCGCCCACGTGGTCAAGATGGTCGACCGTTCACGTCTGTCAAATCCGGGTTATTTTTATCCACAAATATCTCCATTTCATCCCGTGTCGCCGCCTCGTCCTGTTCCCTCATCTGTAAATAACGGAAGTAGCTTCTACATGTCAGTAGGTATTCAGCTGAAAGGTGGTGAAAGTTCCCACAAACTTAATTCAAAATCATATGTAAGTAAAAATGTATATAAAACTGATTAATCTATAAAAACATGAATTTCACACACATGATATGTTTTACAAAACTATATAATTATAACATTATTACAATAATTCGTTACCTTCGAGTAGTCGACTCCAAATCGTAATGGTTTGAGGATTTTCTCAGGAAGAAATGGCATTAGGGTGTCAAATAATGGACACATGAGTTTAGGGTCAAGTGACTTGGGGTCAGTTCGACCTGTAAAGAGATGCATATGGATTAAGGGTCAAGTGATTTGGGATCGATATCTTTTTAACCTGGAAAGAAACACACGTGGTTTTAGTGACGAATTACTCGAGATCATTTAACCTGTAAAGAAACACACGTGACTTTAGTGACGAATTACTCGAGATCTTTTTAACCTGTAAAGAAACACACGTTATTTTAGTGACGAATTACTTGAGATCTTTCTAACCTGGAAAGTAACACACGTGAGACAATTTAATCTGTGAAGTAATACACACGGGTTTATGGTCGAGTGACTTGGGTCTATTTAATCTGTCAAGTAATACACGCGGGTTTAGGGTCGAGTGACTTGGGTCTATTTAATCTGTCAAGTAACACACACGGGTTTAGGGTCGAGTGACTTGGGTCTATTTATTCTGTCAAGTAATACACACGGGTTTATGGTCGAGTGACTTGGGATCTATTCAATCCGTGAAGTAATACACACGGGTTTATGGTCGAGTGACTTGGGTCTATCTAATCTGTCAATTAATACACACGGGTTTATGGTCGAGTGACTTGGGTCTATTCAATCTGTCAAGTAATACACACGGGTTTATGGTCGAGTGACTTGGGATCTATTCAATCTGTGAAGTAATACACACGGGTTTATGGTCGAGTGACTTGGGTCTATCTAATCTGTGAAGTAATACACACGGGTTTAGGGTCGAGTGACTTGGATCTATCTAATCTGTCAATTAATACACACGGGTTTATGGTCGAGTGACTTGGGTCTATTCAATCTGTGATGTAATACACACGGGTTTATGGTCGAGTGACTTGGGTCTATCTAATCAGTGAAGTAATACACACGGGTTTATGGTCGAGTGACTTGGGATCTATCTAATCTGTCAAGTAATACACACGGGTTTATGGTCGAGTGACTTGGGATCTATTCAATCTGTGATGTAATACACACGGGTTTATGGTCGAGTGACTTGGGTCTATCTAATCAGTGAAGTAATACACACGGGTTTATGGTCGAGTGACTTGGGATCTATCTAATCTGTCAAGTAATACACACGGGTTTATGGTCGAGTGACTTGGGATCTATTCAATCTGTCAAGTAATACACACGGGTTTATGGTCGAGTGACTTGGGATCTATTCAATCTGTCAAGTAATACACACGGGTTTAGGGTCAAGTGACTTGGGATCTATTCAATCTGTCAAGTAAAACACACGGGTTTAGGGTCGAGTGACTTGGGATCTATTTTATGACTTTATATAATAATCTGATTTCCTTAGAACAGTAATTATACTGATTATCATTTTTTTTTCAATTATACCAACACACTTTGATACTGACATATGAATGACGATTTACATGTATTAATTAAGTAATTGTGTAGTTGTGAACTTGAGGATTTTACCTGTACAGCAGTGATAATGACCTCTCGGTGAAAAATTCCTAATTACATATGGTAATGACATTTACCTGTAGCGAAGCTGACAATGAGGCCAACACAGACCGTATACAGCATGGCTGTGGCGCTGTACCACAGGTAGGATAGAGAGTACAGACGCACAAACGGATCCCTGAAATAGAGGAATGACCACGTATAACCAGCGAGAACTACATACCAAGTATAACACTGTCAAGGGAAATAACTGAGTTATACAGCGAGAACTACATACCAAGTATAACACTGTCAAGGGAAATAACTGAGATATAGAGCGAGAACTACATACCAAGTATAACACTGTCAAGGGAAATAACTGAGTTATACAGCGAGAACTACATACCAAGTATAACACTGCCAAGGGAAATAACTGAGTTCTACAGCGAGAATTACATTCCAAGTATAACACTGTGTTTTGCAGCGAGAACTACATACCAAGTATAACACTGCCAAGGGAAATAACTGAGTTATACAGCGAGAACTACATACCAAGTATAACACTGTCAAGGGAAATAACTGAGTTATACAGCGAGAGTTACATTCCAAGTATAACACTGCCAAGGGAAATAACTGAGTTATACAGCGAGAACTACATTCCAAGTATAACACTGTCAAGGGAAATAACTGAGTTATGCAGCGAGAACTACATACCAAGTATAACACTGCCAAGGGAAATAACTGAGTTATACAGCGAGAACTACATACCAAGTATAACACTGTCAAGGGAAATAACTGAGTTATACAGCGAGAGTTACATTCCAAGTATAACACTGTCAAGGGAAATAACTTAATTATACAGCGAGAACTACGTACTCATTAATAAAATTCAGAAAGTCGACAACATATTGTCAATGCCATTAGCATAAAGCGGTTGAGGGTCGAATTTAGTACAGATAATTCCACTACGTCTACGTGATATTAAAATATCACAACAAAGTGGTAGGTTATGGATAAGAAAATGAAAGAAATATTTGAGTTAAAGTCTCCATGTCATAATGTCGGACACTGAAGTGACTGTGATAATATAAAAAGCCCTGAACTCGACACACCTTAATGTCTGGTTCTGCATTTACGGCAGTTGGCAAAACAAAATTGTCACTACAAAGGAACAGCTGAAGATCCTAAGGACATTAAGATTAGGTGTTCTGTAAGAGGTATACGTGTAATGAATAAAGCGTCTTCTTAGTCGGAACATTTTCTAATTTGTAGAGCCATACATTACTAATTCAAATTATTCTCTTACCAAGTAGAGTACTCTGGAGCGGGGGCAACAGTGGCGTTGGTGAGGACGGAAGCCAATGGCTGTGTGAAGTTAGTGTCAGTAAGGTTCCAGTTACAGCCAACAAGACTAGTGGGAGAGAAGGGCGCAACAGGAGGCTTGTGAACCTGGTACCCCACACCAATCCACAGCATAAAGATGACACCTGATGACACGGCTGTTAACGCTCCCTGTCGCGAGAAGAAATCCCGGCCATAGTTTATCTCAACATCTCTTTATAGGATATGAGATATATTCATTGTATTATCGATTATTAATCGGGTAAACTCGTCTTAATGCCTTCACTTTATAGTTGGTAAGTTACTCATATAAATCATAAAGTTTAGTGTCAGTGTTATGATTTGTCCACAAGATAGAGCTATTTTAAAAGAAGATTATCGGTTGATATTCCAGAGAGGTGACTTGGGAAATGTTTACACGGAATGATAATTTATGGTCAATATTATAGAAAAACATTTAAAAAGGAGAGGGTGTATCAATATTTATTTTCATAACACTTGATAATCAGCAAAAATCGTAGGGATATGCAATTTTGGATCTCAATACAGACATTTAATGTAAAATAACAATATGAAAGTTAACAAGGCTTATTTGTGTTGATTTTATAATCTACTAATCCTACCTTTTGATTGGCCCAGGGAAAAATGATTCCGAGAGTGAACACGCCGAGTATAGGTCCTCCCAGCATTCCGAACAATGCTAGGGCAGCCTGTGGAGAAGGCGAATCGTGTTAATAACCTCGTGTTTATTGATTAGTCTTTGTCATGGTTATCGGCAAGGTGAAGTAAGCAATTAACTACTTTTCCCGAAAAAAATGGCCGTTTTCTGCATTTAGTCCAAATGAAGTAAAAACAGAGAGAAGAGAGTGGTATATGACTGGTTTGTGCAAAGAATATCTCTTTGTAGGGAAACGCATTATCAATAAAGAGAATTTTGAAGACTTGCCGAGGTCTTTAGAACCCATTCTGATTCATTTTTCGTAAAGATCAGCCTCAAGTGAAAACCAACACGAGTTGGACATCATTGATTGATTTGGATACAAGAACAATCTACTAAAAATACCGCCACTATCCTCCAGAAATCTAAAAAAAGGAAATCTCGTTTTCTTCCCTTTCTTCCGTGACTTCATAATATATCAGAATGTTCATAGACGTTGGATATCATGACTTTATGGTTTGCTCTTTGTTGTAACTCATGATGTGTTTGTTATATAAACTGACCAATTTGATTGGTCAATACATTCCTAGAGTGAATTTGTGAACAGACATGCAGACAGACAGAGTAATTACTATAGGACATCTGTATCGCCGATATAGGACCTTATTGATGTTCCTAAATCAAACCCCTATTTTTTTCAAACCGTCGCCCGTCTTCGATCGATGAGAAAGTTATCATATTAAGACTTTAACTAGCATCAGAAAAAACACAAATGATATTGTGTAATCTTGAAAATAAGATATTCCCTTGTTGTGAAAGACATGGTACTTTAAGGTCGTTTTTGTAAACAAATTCGAGCAATTAAGCCTTTGGAGTAGAGGAGTGTGACTGTATGATTGTGACGTAGAAAGTGTGACGTAGAGTGTAACGGTACGATTGTGACGTAGAGTGTAACGGTACGGTTGTGACGTAGAGTGTGACGGTACGGTTGTGACGTAGAGACTGTAACGGTACGTTTGTGATGTAGAGTGTGTGGCGTAGAGTGTAACAGTACGATTGTTACGTAGAGTGTAACAGTACGATTGAGACATAGAGAGTGTGACGTAGACAGTGTAACGGTACGATTAAGACGTAAAATGTGACGGTACGGTTGTGACCTTGATGTGCGAACAACGATTATTAACGATTTTGGTCATCAACCAGACATTCCGACAGATTGGCCAAACATTGTGGCGAGCCGCCGTTTCCTCTTTCTAAAACTATAATCATTTGTATAATTGCTTTTGCTGGCAAACATTTTTTTCGCCGATTTCACAACCACTTTTGATTTTGACAGCAAGTCCAGAAATACGAATCCTCTTTTTTATGATGATTTTAATTCAAGTCTCATTTAAGGTTTCGTTCTCTTTTAGAACCCAATACAATGTACCTTAAACTTTACATTCCAATCAATTCAATACTTGACCTATATAACGATAAGTCTGTAAAGTACTCATAGTATGAATGCATTATCCTTACATGTCCAAATTCATTAACATAGATTTCCAACATGTATTCACATCCATTCAACACTATATTCACATGGTCAAACTAATCGTCGTATTTGTTTCGACATTTCTTGTTCACATAACATTTCCTAATAGAGTACTAGCAAGAAAACAAAACAATTTTGGAATGACGACTTCATTAAACAACAATCGATGTAGATTACACATTGTACCTACCTGTAGAACTCCGCCCAGCATGGAGGCCACGTACGTCAGACCGAGGCATATAAACCCTGATACCAAAGCTGTGGGATACAAGATCAACATTTAATAGGGAAAATCCGTAATAGTGGTCGTAAAACCGGTCAATTAACTAAATAAAGAGAGAAAAGTACAACAGCCGGAACAAATTACACAAGGTACTATATACATATAGAATACTCTACCTATTGTAATAAACAGAATATCGGAAGTTATACTCTAAAGCTGTTGTAAGGCAGACAGCGAAAATCAACCGATCATCAATCCAAAACACTTTAATGGACCTACCGATCAGTTTTGAAGCGTTAGTGGCCCTCTGTTCGTTGAGGTCCGACACACAGAAGACCTTGACCACGTCCTCCAGCAGGACAGCGGCTATCGAGTTAAGGCCGGACGACAGTGTACTATTGTAACACAAAACATTACCTATAATGAACCGTTCAAAACTGTACAGATCATTTCTCTCTTACAAGTTGTATCTCTTTTTGTCGATGTTTCCTATATATGATTTGATATTGACAGCCTTAACCTTCGGCAAACACTTGGACATTCAGAAATGTTCTACGTTTTCAGTGTGAGAAATGACCGTTTGTCAACAGATCTGTATGAAATATCACCAACAATGTGTTAATATTACATCATCAACAACATATGAATTCCAACAATCTTATTCCATAATTGACAAGGAGAACAAAGCAGGCAGATAAACACCACAGGACCAGGAGACGTGATGGCACCGTTCTGAGGACGATTCTGTCAAATATCCCATTTTACTTGAGATTCCCTTCTCACCATTTGGATCTCCATTTCCCTGGATTCACATTTAGCTTTTTTTTCTAAATTTGTAAATTTGCAAATGTGTAATTAATTATTGATGATTTGAACATTTTTGTTTGACTAACTACATAATGGTACCTCAGAGCTCCACTGAAGATACACGACACGAATATTCCAGGAACACCAGGCATCTTTCCCAAAACGTCCATGACGAAAAGTGGCAGTAACTACAAGTTCAAGATGTAAAGTTTAAGCGACAAAAACACGAAAACTAAAGTTATTGGAAACCGCATACAGTATTGAGAGTTTGGCATTTATAAATATTTAGCTCTAGCAACTTCTTTCGAGTGCATTTTAATTGGGTCATAGATCTACAATACCACTGGGTAAAATATGACATTTATGGTTTGTGAATGCGTTAAATAGAACACTTTCGTATATATTCGTAGTGTTTCTTCTACGTTAACAAAACTTTTCTTGTGCTCTGGTCAGATCTGAGATACATTGGACGTGGACAGCACCAGGACACACACCTGATCAGATGCGGTGATGAGGCCGAAGGTCTTGGGATCACATGTTCGGTAGAAGGCATAGGCTACGGTACCAATAAAACAACACAGGTAGAGAATGACACACAGACCAGGGAAGTTGAACCAGTAGGCCCTGCAACGGGAGAAACATTATGTTAAGCGGCCACTCTACTTGTCTGCATCAACATTATGATGTTATAACTGCGGAAAGACTTTATCAGTTAGGCACTGCCTAAGACCAATCGCTTATGTGAGATGGACGTTGAGCTATTTTAAGTACTTCAATCACAACAATTGTTTCTAACTGTTTCTGTGATAATGACAGCAACTTGTCATTCAACAACAGATTTGAAAAAGACATAATGCAATAAATAATAGTTAAGAATGAAGAGGAAGAAGTGTATTAGAAGTTGATAACATTTTGTTTAGACTCCATACCACCTGAAATGCGAGGATTTATTTACAAATAATTGAAAGCCAACAACTAGCATTGACTACCCATCTCTTACGGTAAGTCCATAATGACAGTTTTCACTACATATACATGGTATCTGTTGCTAACACAAGACAACGGCCCATAAAGTTAATAATGTAGAAAAAAATGGAACTATTCTGTCGTACTTACATAAGTACATCTTACAAATTTATTTTACAGGAAGGACAGACAAAGTTAATGACGTCGATTATACAAATTTGACAAATTAAAATGACGTTTACGAATCTTATTTTGAAAAGTAGACGCAAGGTAGGTGAAGCGTATCCACCTCTTGCCTAACTAAGATGTAGGACCAGGAATAGTATATACTACTTACATCTGTGCCTTTCTCAACGTGGGGCACGTAATGGCACGTTGGATCTGCGCCTGATTTGCCCCATACACCGCCAACCAGGTTATCGCACCTCCAAACACGCACGACCAGACACTATGACGTACGATAGGGTCAGGGTTGAAACTGAAAATGTGATTAATAGAAATATCTTTTGTGGCAACTGACATTAAATTTATTCACTGATACAAATCGTTACAAGGTGAGAACGTTATATATCACAAGCTTACTTTGGTAGACATGTGAATTACAAAATTTTATCACGACTTGATCACAACGATGTGGAGATTTTCAGAATATTATTGAGTCGAAATCAGTATACAGTCGATACCTTACTAAAGCCGGGCAGGCAAGGATGGCAACGACTAGATTTCACTACTGTTATCAATGTATTAAAACTATAGAGAATGTTTTATGTTTAAGATAGTACACCTCTATGCTTTAGTATGCATCCGTTATCCGGTTTTTTCGTGTCTTTTTATTATCACGACATAGAGCTATATTTAGAATACCAGTTTTACAGGAATACATACTCGTCAAACAGGATTCTGCCACTGTCAACAGAATATTGCCATGCTTTGGAGAATCCTCCCACCTCGATTGAACCCTGGATAAGGATGGTGCAAAGACCTGCCAGCATAACTCCTACCTGGAACGTGTCAGTCCACAGCACCGCCTTCATACCACCCTACACAAAATGGCAATGAAGTGTCGATCTATACTTAAAATATCATCATACCATGAGAAGCTAGAGAAGTTTATAGCAACATATTTCCCTTTTGGTTCCGCCCCTCAGTTCCCTGAAGGTCAGCTTCACCACTTAGGTATGCTTTCAGCCAAATTGAGTAAATCAATCGTGTGAAGGAAATGTTGACGGACGGACGACGGACACTGCGGTACAGCAGAAGCTCTCTCTGGTGCCTCGCAAAAGGTGGGTTAAAAAAAGAGAACAAACTGTTGACAGACTGACGACGGACAACTGGCTGTCTCGGAATAGGTTGATTAAAAAACAGAAGATATTGTATATATATATTTAGACAGTCTTCATACCAGGACGGACAAAGGAGTGAGAAAATATCTATCTGTACTTAGATTGTCTTCACACAGCAGTAGGTAAATATCACAAGACGTTGTTTTAGTTGCATTCGAAAATGATTTGATCAACCCAAACAAGACTAGGCCTTAACAGGGACGTAAAACCAGATTATAACATATGGTATTAACAAATTAGCAATCTTATAAATAACACTGTGTATATATTTAAATACCACGCATTTATACTTCATTATCAACATCATGAGAATACTCTGTCCACTTTGAAAGTCAGGAGATTTACCGGTTGCCCCAATGCTAATTTATGACAGGCCTATAAATAAAACGTTCCGAAATGAAGGACGAAGACTAACAACTGATTGCATACCTGTGTTAACTGGAAATAACCCTTCTTAAAACGTATGATGGTAGATACGTTATTTCTTTTCGTCATTGACACTTATTAAAATATTATCAGAAAAAAAAAGTTTGGTGTCCATAATAATTGCACATAAGATAAAATGACACTCGTACTTAAACTGTTTTTATTACTAATTTTAAAAAAATAAAGAAAATGTCGATATGTCAACAGAATCTTACTCCAAACTCAAAGTCAATAAAACTAGGGGAAATATCAACAAAAGAGTCACACGGAAGCTCATTAAAAACCACAAGGACAGTAAGACCATGTGTTCCGGAATCGTAAGTATCTTCTGCTTCATTAAGACACTCACCATGTAAATATACTCATGACATATATATATACAAATATTAAGATGAAGTAGCTGATACTCATAATAGTTGGATATTAAACGCACTAAAAGACAGTATATTTGATAAATATACGTGCTATATGAGATACAAACGACACTCAAGTATCGGTACAAGGTAGACCATACTCTTAATGGTAGTTTATCTAAATGATTTGGGTTCCATTGAAAATATTGCAATAAAAATTAAAACAAATATTCTTTATCATTTAGTAGACGAAGCCCATATTTTACTAAGACGATACTTACAATGGTAGTGTAGAAGATACAGACGAGGCCGACTGCCCACACAGATCCCCACAACGTGAAGCCGGTCACTATAAAACCAGATATAAACAGAAAATATACCATAGCGGTTGAAATCATTATTTTGGAATTCGAAAAAGTGGATCCGCATAAATATCATATAACATACACTAAAATCGCCTCCACTTCGCCATTCGACCAATTAATAAGTATGTTTCCAGGATTTCGTAAAGAGATTATCGAAACGTTTTAGAGTTTTTGCATACATTACCAGCATTCATGGCCAAGGACGGAGCATATAGCACAATGGACATGTAGAGAACCTGGAAATACAAAGATAAAATATATCGATTCTCTTCTCCGAACGATACAGTGAGATTGTTTACTAGAAATATTGCAGGCTGTGATACATTGTATATATTATCAATACACGACTCCTGTTACCTATCGGAAGATAAAATGTACCTATAGGTTTTGAAAATGTAGGAAATATGTCCGCATCATTTACAACATTATCAAAATTCATACCCCTATAATTTTCTTGACGAATACTTGTGAATGAGTGAAAAAAAATCTGCATATATAGGAAAATAACAACAGTTTACATTACAAAAGCATAGATGTTACCAAAATTAATCAAGCGTGTATAAACAGCCTGGGTGTCTTCCGCTACCTTCCACTATCTTCGTTTGAATTTCATAAAATGCCAGAATGACATTCGTTCTTTACATTTTCGTGACTTCGAATTCACCACATCTTGCTATGTAGCACAAGGACAGGACTGTGGGTATGATTCAGGTTTGAGAGTCTTTACGTCGAGTGGCATACCATTTTGGTTGGAGTCCCGTAACTGGACCAGAGATCAACTTTGCTGAGCTCCTAGGAAGAGTCTCGTTTTGTCTACAACTTGATAATGGAAGGTGGGGAGTGTGGAAGCAACGAGGAGACCGTTGTGAGAACTGCTGCGTCACAGGACAGGATCCGTTCCGCAGCGGAAGTATAATGGCTTGGGGTTGTATTTGGGGGTTGGAATTCATACCAGACTTGTTGTGGTAAATGGCAAATTAACCGATATTCAATAAGGAAACGAAATTTTAAAACCAGCGGCACTATCATTCAAAAGACGCTATTAGACTGGACATCGAAATCATCTGGTGTGTCACCAGTTAAGCGTATTGGGACGCTCTTAGGCAACGCCTGAGAGAACGTCAAATTCAGCCGTCAAACACGCAGGAACTGGTCCAATCCTTGAACGATGAACATTTCTCATGACCCACCGATTTACGAGTTCCATGCGACGATGCTACAGTCTGTTTACCTCGCAAACGTTGGTTATACCCGTTCATTTGAAATTGACCGCAATCTTTTTCAATGTACAGTAAAGCCAAGTGAACAGTTATACAACTAACCGTGGCAGTACTTTTATACAAGATTGAGAGGAATTTAAAAAGGGATTATATCAATTAATCGTCACGCGGGTTTACATTTTTAAAAGTAGATTGTAAATGGGGTAAATAACTACTACTTAATTATAGCTTGTGAATGTAGACTTTTGTATGAAATAATCATAATACAAGTTACGTCGATAAATTTGCCTTTCGTCTATACATCAATTAAAGCTTTTTTATTTTTCAATTATATATAAAAGATCATACATACAAAATCAACACACTTACCATCTGTATGACGTAGACAACGGATATCAGCGAGCGTGTAGGTCTACCGAATCTCATTTCCAGGTACTGTTGGTGTAAAACACAGTGCATAAAACAAGGATATCTGCAAATTCGTCTCATTTCTATGCAACCTATATCAAGGACTACCTAATCTCATTTCTATACAACACATAGACACAATAGATATTATTGAGTCTGTATTTCTGCCTTATCTCATCTCTATACAACACATAGACACAATGGATATTATTAAGTCTGTAGGTCTGCCGAATCTCATTTCTATACAACACATAGACACAATAGATATTATTGAGTCTGTATTTCTGCCTTATCTCATCTCTATACAACACATAGACACAATGGATATTATTAAGTCTGTAGGTCTGCCGAATCTCGTTTCTATACAACATATGGACACAATGGATATCATTGAGTCTGTAGGTCTGCCGAATCTCATTTCTATACAACACATGTACACAATGGATATCATTGAGTGTGTAGGTCTGCCGAATCTCATTTCTATACAACACATGGACGCAATGGATATCATTGAGTGTGTAGGTCTGCCAATCTCATTTCTATACAACACATGTACACAATGGATATCATTGAGTGTGTAGGTCTGCCGAATCTCATTTCTATACAACACATGAACGCAATGGATATCATTGAGTCTGTAGGTCTGCCGAATCTCATTTCTATACAACACATGGACGCAATGGATATCATTGAGTCTGTAGGTCTCCCGAATCTCATTTCTATACAACACATGTACACAATGGATATCATTGAGTCTGTAGGTCTGCCGAATCTCATTTCTATACAACACATAGACGCAATGGATATTATTGAGTCTGTAGGTCTGCCGAATCTCATTTCTATACAACACATGGACGCAATGGATATCATTGAGTCTGTAGGTCTGCCGAATCTCATTTCTATACAACACATGTACGCAATGGATATCATTGAGTCTGTAGGTCTGCCAATCTCATTTCTATACAACACATGTACACAATGGATATCATTGAGTGTGTAGGTCTGCCGAATCTCATTTCTATACAACACATGTACGCAATGGATATCATTGAGTCTGTAGGTCTGCCGAATCTCATTTCTATACAACACATGGACGCAATGGATATCATTGAGTCTGTAGGTCTGCCGAATCTCATTTCTATACAACACATGTACACAATGGATATCATTGAGTCTGTAGGTCTGCCGAATCTCATTTCTATACAACACATGAACGCAATGGATATCATTGAGTCTGTAGGTCTGCCGAATCTCATTTTTATACAACACATGGACGCAATGGATATTAGCGAGTCTAGGACTACCTAATCTCATTTCTATACAACACATGGACGCAATGGATATCATTGAGTGTGTAGGTCTGCCGAATCTCATTTCTATACAACACATGGACGCAATGGATATCATTGAGTATTTTGGCGTACCGAATCTCTTTTTTCAGGCACTGAATGTATACTCAATATATGATGTAAGCGAGACATAATAAACACAGCAGAAATACTCATAACTACTATATCGTCTACTAACTAAATTAAAGCGGAACTTGTCTCACGATTTAATAGGTTTTTTAGTTTGTTTTTCGATAAGTGTATCACCAATAAAGAATACTCATACGAAATCACACGGAAACAGGTTGCACTTGGACAGGAAACTTAATTAATCTTTATGTACTCAATCTACATGTACTCAGTCATAGAAGCGTAAAAACTAGGACACAAAAAAAAAAAAAAAAACATCTCAAATACATGTACTCCGAAAGTAGACCTAATCACCCCCTCCCACAGACCGTAACACTGATTCCTACTCTGTACAGTTTTGACATAATATTTAGATTTTGTTTCCTGATAAAAACGTACAAGCCTTGTCGATACCAGATATAATTACTCTATAACTGGAAACAGGACTTCAATACAAACGTGAGGTTGATAATCATCACTTTGCAGATGTTGCCAAAAATATGGACCGTTACATCGTAAAACATAAAACAGTTTTCCTTTTCCTGATAAAACGACCGGATGATTTCTGATATAATACGGGTCGATTTGGAGTCTGGCGCGTGTAACTTGTGAACCCGAGTACAACCTTTTCCAATTCTGATGTGTGTAATGTATTTATTTAAACTGCATTTACGTCACGACATTCAATTAGAAGATTACAATGTAGTTTATCCCTGAGCTTTTAGTGACTCAAAATTGTTACAATTTTTTTATAATAACAAATATACAGAGTGATTTTCTAAGTTTTGTATTTCACTTTTTCATAACTTCTGAATATAATTTTATTTTATCCTCCGGATAAAAAATTATCTGGGTGATTGTACGTAAAGCTTAGAGTAGGTGCTCTGATTATTGTATCGCCCTATGTGCGAATTCTTGTTAAATGTGGTTTTGTTTTATAGTAACAATAGCGTTTTCAGAACACAGTAACGAAACTACCAGGTATACTGATGTTCGTCAGACACATCTAACTATACATCGCACAAGTAAGCGGAATAATTGCAACGGAGATCACGGTGGCAATCATTACACATGCCAAAAGTCTTCATCAAACCTGCATTCCTCTGACATGGGAACAAAACCTGGAATATGGAACAGCGACATGTAATTATCATACATTAGATACGGGAAGCAAACTTATCTGGCAATGGAAAATTCACAATAGGAAATTGGAATCATCCCGTTTATCGTACAGCTAGCTGAAAATCCGCCCCTGTTGCTTTCGTCATAGAAAAATGTCGAGGTAATTGGCTGATGAGAAAATCTACCCCTGTTGCTTTCGTCATAGAAAATTATCGAGGTAAATGACTGATGAGAAAATCTGTCCCTGTTGCTTTCGTCATAGAAAAATGTCGGGGATATTGGCTGGTGAGAAAATCTACCCCTGTTACTTTCGTCATAGAAAAATGTCGGGGTTATTGGCTGATGAGAAAATCTACCCCTGTTGCTTTCGTCATAGAAAAATGTCGGGGTTATTGGCTGATGAGAAAATCTACCCCTGTTGCTTTCGTCATAGAAAAATGTCGGGGTTATTGGCTGATGAGAAAATCTACCCCTGTTGCTTTCGTCATAGAAAAATGTCGGGGATATTGGCTGATGAGAAAATATGTCCCTGTTGCTTTCGTCATAGAAAAATGTCGGGGATATTGGCTGATGAGAAAATATGTCCCTGTTGCTTTCGTCATAGAAAAATGTCGGGGATATTGGCTGATGAGAAAATCTACCCCTGTTACTTTCGTCATAGAAAAATGTTGGGGATATTGGCTGATGAGAAAATCTACCCCTGTTGCTTTCGTCATAGAAAAATGTCGGGGATATTGGCTGATGAGAAAATCTACCCCTGTTACTTTCGTCATAGAAAAATGTCGGGGATATTGGCTGATGAGAAAATCTACCCCTGTTACTGTCGTCATAGAAAAATGTCGGGGATATTGGCTGATGAGAAAATCTACCCCTGTTGCTTTCGTCATAGAAAAATGTTGGGGATATTGGCTGATGAGAAAATATGTCCCTGTTGCTTTCGTCATAGAAAAATGTCGGGGATATTGGCTGATGAGAAAATCTACCCCTGTTACTTTCGTCATAGAAAAATGTTGGGGATATTGGCTGATGAGAAAATCTACCCCTGTTGCTTTCGTCATAGAAAAATGTTGGGGATATTGGCTGATGAGAAAATATGTCCCTGTTGCTTTCGTCATAGAAAAATGTCGGGGATATTGGCTGATGAGAAAATCTACCCCTGTTGCTTTCGTCATAGAAAAATGTTGGGGATATTGGCTGATGAGAAAATATGTCCCTGTTGCTTTCGTCATAGAAAAATGTCGGGGATATTGGCTGATGAGAAAATCTACCCCTGTTACTTTCGTCATAGAAAAATGTTGGGGATATTGGCTGATGAGAAAATCTACCCCTGTTACTTTCGTCATAGAAAAATGTCGGGGATATTGGCTGATGAGAAAATCTACCCCTGTTACTGTCGTCATAGAAAAATGTCGGGGATATTGGCTGATGAGAAAATCTACCCCTGTTGCTTTCGTCATAGAAAAATGTCGGGGTTATTGGCTGATGAGAAAATCTACCCCTGTTACTGTCGTCATAGAAAAATGTCGGGGATATTGGCTGATGAGAAAATCTACCCCTGTTGCTTTCGTCATAGAAAAATGTTGGGGATATTGGCTGATGAGAAAATCTACCCCTGTTGCTTTCGTCATAGAAAAATGTTGGGGATATTGGCTGATGAGAAAATCTACCCCTGTTGCTTTCGTCATAGAAAAATGTCGGGGATATTGGCTGATGAGAAAATATGTCCCTGTTGCTTTCGTCATAGAAAAATGTCGGGGATATTGGCTGATGAGAAAATCTACCCCTGTTGCTTTCGTCATAGAAAAATGTTGGGGATATTGGCTGATGAGAAAATCTACCCCTGTTGCTTTCGTCATAGAAAAATGTCAGGGATATTGGCTGATGAGAAAATCTGTCCCTGTTGCTTTCGTCATAGAAAAATGTCGGGGATATTGGCTGATGAGAAAATCTGTCCCTGTTGCTTTCGTCATAGAAAAATGTCGGGGTTATTGGCTGATGAGAAAATCTACCCCTGTTGCTTTCGTCATAGAAAAATGTCGGGGATATTGGCTGATGAGAAAATCTACCCCTGTTGCTTTCGTCATAGAAAAATGTTGGGGATATTGGCTGATGAGAAAATCTACCCCTGTTGCTTTCGTCATAGAAAAATGTCGGGGATATTGGCTGATGAGAAAATCTGTCCCTGTTGCTTTCGTCATAGAAAAATGTCGGGGATATTGGCTGATGAGAAAATCTGTCCCTGTTGCTTTCGTCATAGAAAAATGTCGGGGTTACTGGCTGATGAGAAAATCTACCCCTGTTGCTTTCGTCATAGAAAAATGTCGGGGATATTGGCTGATGAGAAAATCTACCCCTGTTGCTTTCGTCATAGAAAAATGTCGGGGATATTGGCTGATGAGAAAATCTACCCCTGTTGCTTTCGTCATAGAAAAATGTTGGGGATATTGG